TTTTATATAAAATAGTAATATTTCTAAAATTTGAAGTTAACAGAAAATATATAATTTTTGAACAGAATTATGAATGCAATACCTTTAAAGAGTGTAAACGGTCTTAATTCGGAAGAATTGTCTAATAAAGCTGAGAATATTATAAATTCGATAGGAAAAATATGGAAAACGGATAAAAAATATACATACAAGCTAAACAAAGTGAACTCGAATATTAATGTACAAACGTACCATATTGATAAGCTCAATGATGATTATTGGTGTGCAAGAGTTTCGACACTTAAAGAGATAGATGTCGAAGATAAAAGGAGTTATTATTCGAAACTTGAAAAATACATTGTTGGATCAATCTCAAGTTTAGAAAACACACATACAGAATACGAAAAGCAGTACATTCATGAACTTGTTAATTATGAACTTAAACCAATTACATTGACGCCCAATAAGGACTTTGAAACGTTTACTTACTTAGCAAGACTAGAGTATAAATTTCCTTTTCCGTTAAGACGGAGAGTATTTTTTGAATTGATTCATATTTGCAAATCTCGTATGGAATCTTTGTCGTATATTATTTCGTTACCGATTGACCCAACTTGTTTTCAAAGTGAGTCCTTAAACATGGTTCATGCCAGATATGCTTCAATCGAGAAAATATCCTATGATAAATCGACAAATGATTTGGAATGGCTAATGGCTACATGTTCAAGTCCTGGAGGATCAATACCTGACTGGTTAAGTAAATTAAGCATCAATAAAGCGATAGCTAAAGATGTTCCAAGCTTTTTAAATTGGTCAGATTCTATATAGATATTTATACTTCTCCATCAAGGCCAAAGCTTTCAAGCCAAAGCTTGACATCATCTCCTAAATTATTTAAAAATCCCAAGTGAGCGTAATCGGTTAATTGTTGTAACACCATATTTCTATTTTGTTGGTTCGTTGCTATCGAAGACACAGGTTCATGTGTATTTGGCTTTTTAGAAATTGCAGTTGTATTTCGCTTGGGAGTAATTCTATGGTTTCTGTTTCGACTCTTGATAATGACTATGAATCTATTGTTATATTTTATATAATAGAACATCCAATCAAAATGTCTTGAAGAATTGAATTTATGAAAAAATTCATTCATATTATCACCCTTGAAAAAATCATTATTCCTTTGGGCGATGAATATATCACTTAATTGATCATGCAAATGAAAAATGGCACTTTTGTATCTTATATTAGATTTATTTAATTGACTTTCGTTTTCCGACATTGCATTCAAACTAGGACTAAGCAATGGTAAGTATGGTAAGGATGATTTGACCCATCCTTCATTGTTATCGTAAATAATAAAATAAAAATTTTGATTCTGATCAGTCTCGAGGCCAGGTGAAATATATGTCTTTCCATTATTAATTCTTAATGAGTCTAATGATCTAGGTAGAGAACCCACACTATTACCTATAATACTTCCATTCATCAAAACAGTATTCAACTCTTCTATCAAGGGATATAATATAACTTTAGACAAATTAGTATAAAATGCTTCTTGATTTAGCTCATTTAAAGAAGAATCGTACACGAGTGTAAAAATTATCTTATTAAGTGCATAAACTATTATCAGATATTCTCTTTTATTAATTGTCAGTTCTCCGTCATTTTTTTGAACAACCGAATTCAAATAAACCAATCTCTTGGTAATTATATTATTTGAGTTTGCATCTTTTGACAAACCAATAATGAAATAGCCATCCGATTCATCATCTGTTTCATCATTTGGCGAACTGCACTCGTCAGTATGCTCACTGCTAGCATTTATATTGGCATCATGTGAATTGTTTTGAGTGAAGGGTTTTAAATATGATGGAATTGAAAGCCAATTTCCAATAGAAGAATCTTGATTAGGTGCCTGGTGATTCACATCACCATTTATACCACTAAAGCCCATAACATTATTCATCGTGCTATTGAACGGCAGAATGATATAATCATTTGTAAGATTAATAGGGTTAATCATATCGAAAGTCGAAGCAGCCGTTGACATTACTGACCTAGTGTCAGAATCATTTACCGATGCAAGCGATATTAAGACTTGCTGTTCGCTATTAAGCTGCTCTCGAATGGTATCAGAGGATGAAAAAAATCCTTCGTAGTCTAATGATGTGAGACTCTCCCCATCAAGCTTATGGTGGAAATCGTAGTATTCAAGCCAATTATATATATTGATTAGTTCTTGAGGCTGTATAAGCTTTTTATCAGTTTCTCCTGCAAGCGAGCTATTTGAGTAAATCATACCATACTTCTTAGGCTCGGTTTGATCAAAATATGAAATTATTAAACCTTTAGGTTTTAATCGTTCATCCTGACTTTCATTGTATAATATTCTGTCTATCTGATCATTGGTAGAGTCATTTAAAATGATCGAAGACTTTTTGTAAACATTCAGCCGGTTCGTTCCTAATAATCCCAAAAAGCCTCTATAATTCATGCAATTAGCCCATAGGAGCTTAGATGGAAATTTAAGGTATTCAGAGTTATAGCTACCAATGAATTCTCTCCAAAAATCATCAAGAGAATTCTTTAAGATTTCTAAGTTGTATTCTTCCAAAACTCTTTCAAATGAACCATTTAATACTACAAAATGATTGTAAGCTTGATCAATCAATTTTGACATTTGATGACTGACTATTTTGGAATTATTCTGTGAAATAGCAGAAATAGAAACACAACAAATAATATAATAACTGGCTTCAACCTGCTTGACAATTAATAGAGAAGTATCAGTTTTTATGATATTAGAATCACTTTGGACATCTTTAGCGAAACCTTGCATAAATGAGTTAATTCCTCTAACTAAACCAATAATCTTCAATTTATCATTCTCTTCAAAAGATACATCTCTATTCTCTGGATCACAATCCATATTTTCTGAAACAAAGCATAGAATCTGTTTTATCAATTCGTTGTTTGATTCACACTTATCACTTATATGCGAAGGATTAAAAACACATATGTATTTCACCTTGGGATACAAGCATTCTCGGTGAGTGCTGTTATGCGTATCAGTAGAGTCCTGCCTTCCTAATTGCGGTATGAATTGAGTGAAATAATTATTCATTATTTCTCTATTACGAGTCTTTATCAATTCCTTATGATGTAAATTATACTTATCTATGTCTTATATTACACAAAAATTTTGGTGTATGAAATAAACTATATCCATATATCATTCCATCCTATATTTTTTCTAACAGCATTTGAAAATCCTTCATTATACTTGACCCATATTCTTGTCAACTCATGGTTTGGATCAGACTCATTTATCTGACTTGCAACGACATCATACCTACCTTTGAAGAATTCAAGACTATTTAATCTATTTTTCTTCTTTTTGCTGTCTGTTTCCTCTTTTTGCTTCGAACTCGAAGATTCATACGTTCTTTTGTGACTCTTTCTAAGCATTTCCAATCGTTCGATCTCTGATTGAATGAGAGGGAAGAGCCACTGTCTTTTAATCTGAATTTGCTTGGATAATGCACTGGCAGGAATAGGCAGAAAATAAGTTTCAAAGTTGGTAATGGTATCCCAGCTAGGAGATATTTGCAATGACTCTTGACCAGTTTCAAAATCACGATGCTTTTCCAAATGCAAATCTATGTCTTTAATTAAAATTGCAGCCTTTTCTATTAAATTCTTTTCAAAACCTTTCAAATTTGACTTTAATTTACTCTCAGAAGTGTCAGGTGTCAAAATCTTATTCAAATAAGGCAAGAAATAACACGAAAATGTATGGTTTAGTTCTCCCCCTCCACCGACAGTCTGCTTCAATGTGATAGGTAATTTATTCATCACTCTCTTTATTATTGATTTATTTTGTTTCATTAATTCAAACGCTTCAAATTCAAGACTTTTGCTATTAGGAAGAAGGCTATTTTCATTAGAGAATTTGTTCAGATTTAATTCACTAAATAGTGACCAAATCTTCATGCTTACCAAGCTTGAAGAATAGTCTATCTCATTACTGTTACCTATCAGATCATAAAAGCTTAACCAGTCACTTAATTCAGATGGTTTATGTAATGTATCATCTTGTACGTGAACAACGTCCAAATACTTATTGAAGCAACCACGAATCACTTTATCAAGACTACTGTGATTACTAGAACTAGATTTGCCATCTCCATTCATGACAATATCCATAAGCGCCATAAAATTTTCATCTTTCGACAACTGTGGATCTCTTTTGAATAATAAATCAACCATAGCAAACCAGGTGATCTGCGAGTCCTTATTATATTTGCTGACACCTCTTGAAGCACTGGGTGCAGTAGGAAAATCGACTTTACGGGCATTGAATTGTAAGTAATTGATACAGGCTCGAATATCCCCTTCACATACTTCCACTACTTCACCTAACTGCTGGTAATCCATTCCTAGCTTTTCGCGTTCGTTAATCCACATTAAATGTTCCTTGACGGATCTTGAGGCATTACCACTGCGTTTGACTCCAGATGCTGTCTTTGTTGAAGATGGCTTTCTCATAGTAACTATTTCACACAAGGGTCTTAATTTATCCATTGGGGACCCTCCTGAATTACGGAAGGAATTACCAGTAGAGTATATATCGTTAGCAATACAAATAATAGGCCTGTTAAGCATAAAATCTTTCTTCCTTTTATTGGACTTACTGTCTGATGAGGATGTTATACTGTTTGCATCGCTTTTGATCCTTTGATTAGCCCTTTGATCCGAATATGACAATTCATTAAGAACCTTGATTATTTCATGAGAATTTATACTCGAATCTATTTCATCAATGACAAGACATGTAGGTCTTCCTTTTGAGGTCAATGAATTTGTTGTCAAGGCATTCATAATCTTTAACTTTAAAGCAACTGTGGCATTAGTATACGTTGTTCCTGTAACAGACGTAGATTGGGGTAAGGTATCCATACTATTCGATGCATTTAGTTCTTGTACATTATAACCCAACTGCCGGGCTAAAATTTGTGCTGCGCTTGTTTTTCCAATACCCAGAGGTCCATTTATTAATAAGAATTTCTTATGTGGACGGCCCAATGAATCCACATTATCATTGAGAGAAGCTGATTCACCAAATACGACGTGCGACCACTTTTTCAACCAGTGAAGAATCAAACGGTACTGCTTATCATTTCCCGCTGAACATAAATGCATAAAATTTGATGGTCTATATTTTTCAGTCCAAACTTGGCTTTGTTGCAGCTTATTACGTCTGCTAGAAGTAGACCTCGACTGTTCCTGATTATTTTTCAAGGACTTTCTAACACTGATTTTCTTGAATAGTTCATCCATATTTACTATGTTGTCCGTCTCCTCTATGCCTAATGAAGCTAAGTCTATTCTATTTTTTAATTTAGATTTCTTTTTTAGTACTATTGATGATCCGTCGAAAAATTTCACGTCTTTTTCTTTTATACCATTTTCTAAATGTATTTCCTTATCCAATTTAAGTTTGTATTCTTTTTTCTCTTCTTCACTTCTGGAATGGCTGTTAGTTATATCAGAAGAACCAAGTAAGAATGATTCTTCTAAATTGATTGCACCTATATTTTTGTCACAAAGATCACTGGAATTGCCTTTACTTTCAGACAAAATTGATTGTCCAAACAACAAATTATTCAAGTCTAGCGAGTTGCTTATATCTTGTTCGACAACCATAACAAATTGTTTAGTTTTACCAATGGTTCCTGAGATTAAAGAATTGTTTATCTGAAATCCAAATATTTTTTTAAGCAGTCAGTTAACGCGAACGCGTAGTTGACGTACGAGAATATTCAAAAGCGTTGCAGTCAAAGCTATCTATCAAGCTATTATCAACTCACTCTATAATTACCTCCTATAAAGTAAACCTTATACTTAATTAAATAAGCAAGGTGAATAAGCTTCATGAGTTAGTATATTAAATACTGTATGTATAAATGTATAGCTAGATGTATTCTATAGTAACAACTGTAAACGGAGTTAAATTATTTATTTCCAAGCTCGGGTTCTGATATACAAATAACTCAGTATAGAGTTAGGCTTTAATTAACAACCCAAATTAAGAACATAAACCGTACATTTCAACTAAAAATAATATATAAATCGAGGTTAGTATTGATTAGCAATATATCAATAAAAATCTTTATAATGTATCTAAACTCGATAAGTCAGAAATTTGAAAACCAAATACATTTTATCTATCAGGTTTAAAATGAGTGGACTTAGCTCATGTTAAACGATCTAGGTGCTTCACCTTCAGGTCCAATATATTGAGGATCTCTCCATGGACCAATATCATTCAAATACAATTCATCATCTGTTACGTCAGACTTACCACCATACTTTGCTGGCAAGTTCTCAGCAGGAATCTGCTTCAATAATTCCTTTTGGTATGACGAACCAAGAATAAATATTTTAGAAACAGTAACAGGATCTAAAAATGGTTTGAAAACCCTAAACGCAGTGGAGAATCCAAATGGAGAGTTAATAAGGTAAAACTTACCCATTCTTTCCGGGTAGTAATCTTGACCAATAGCTGAAGCTTCCTTCACGTAATTGACGACTTGATAAGCTGCTGAAATAGAAATACCCTTCAAATCCATGATAGTACATGATGTTTCAACTAAACAGCCTTGTTGACGAGAACATGCTGGCAATCTGTAATAAGTGAATGATTCGTACTCCCAAACTAAATTCTTCAACATTCTTTCTTGAGTAGTGATCTTTAACATTTCGTTTAAGTTAACCTTACCTAATTCTTCATAGTAAACTGGGCGTCCATCTTTGTCGATCTTGTGGTAGTACTGAGGATACAATTTGGCTACTAATGGCTTTTCGTCATAATGGAAATCAGTCAAAATGGTGTTAGTACCAAATGACTTTCTCCATGTCTCACATTTGACGTACATTTGCTTGGCCTTAACAATGTCAAACTTTCTGGCTCTCAAAAATCTCAACAAAGTTGCATCATCTAAACGATCTTCATAACCATCAGCAGTCAACTCAGCACGAAATTGTTCTAAAGTCTTCTTTTGATCATCAGTCAAGTTTGATGTGTACCCAGTTTCCTTAGTTGGCGCTGAAACTTGTGGGTATGACTCTAAGATTTCTTTTTCGGTAGCAGGCATCTTTAATAATATTCAATATAATGTTTCTGTTACACTCAATAGATAATTGCAGAATTGTAAATGACCTGTATTGATGAATTGAAGTATTGATTTGCGATCCCAATTACTTGTTGAGCTGTTCTAAAAAATTGTTTGCTCGCTTTTATCCATTTTGTGATTACGTAAACGGGTGCAATGTTGACACATACATAAGATCATATAATACTATAACTATACATTATATTAGGTCTTTCTTAACCATTTCTTGAATGGATTCTTTGAGGAAGATTTCATAATGCTACCTAATGAGTTTGTACTGAGAGATTGAGTCATACCAGCTCCATAGGAAGATTCATTTTGGAACCTCGTTTCAGGAAATTTAAGCTTTAAAACAGTGAAAGCATTTTCAGTTAATTTTTTTAGGTTACTTGGAACCAGGGTGTCCATCCTATCGAGGTGAATAATACAATTTCTGTTGGTATCCAAGTAGGCTTTTGAAAGTATATCATTAGTAAAGGCGTCCCATAAAGAAGTTTTAGAAAGGTAGTTACTTGGGTATTCGTATTTCTCCAAATAAGCTTCTAAATCGGTTATGATGCTGGTAAGGTTTGCACATTCTTTTTGTAAATCCTTTAAGGTAATGTCTGACGTGATAAATGAAAATATGTTTTCGTTACTACGGCACAAGGATTTTATGAAACCCTCGGTGTCATTATCACCGGCCAAATCTAAAAACTCAGACTTTTCGAATTCCAAAGAACCAATCTGATAAACATTTCTTTCGTTGTTGAGATGAATTTCGTCAAAAGAACCATTGTTATTATTGTTGTTATTTCCACTTTGGCCATTGCACGATATAGAACTTTGAATACTGACTGAAGATCCCGAGTTGACAAGGCCATTTTGGGAACTTGGGGTATTTAAGTAGCTGAAGGATTTCACCTTAGTGAAATCTAGCAAGTATATTAATTCTGTCAATCTTAAGTACTTATCAATCAAATAGGGAGTTGTTGGCAACTCCAGCGAGGACTTATCGCCAGATATCCCCAAGTCAAATCTTTTAACTTCATGCGATAAATCTAAGATCTTTTCATTGAAATCATTCTTTCTCCCAGTTATTTTGTCAAAGTATTCAAGTAAGTCACTTTTATGGTTTTCCAAAAACGAATTCATTTTAACTAAATGCGGTTCTTTATGAGCCGAAAACTCTTGCCTATTTGCTAAATTCAATAAAATCTTTGCAATCAATGTTAAGGTCCTTTGACTTTTCCCAGTTTGATGATCTTTCGTAAGGTAGAACAATTTAGGATTTAAAATTGCTGGGCAAAAAAATCTCAAGAAAATAAAGGAACTCAAACAATTCAACGCAGTGACCTTATCATCGGGATCACAGCTCAACTCAACTTTGGTTCTGAAATTCTTTAATTGATATTTTATTTGCTGTGGAAGATCATTACTTGTTATATAGATTTTGTTCCAAACTTCTTCCGCATAATTGTATAAATTTCTGAAGTTTGTGTTAACTTTTTCTTTAATCAATTCTTCATCTTCTTTCTCAACATCAGAGTCATACTCATCAGAATCATCATCGCTTTCCAAATCGGCATCATCAATTGTCTTACCTCTACGCTCAGCCTTCAATTGTAACCTTATATATCTTGGATCTGTTTCACAATCTTTCTTCTCGTATGATATCTTGCTCATAAACTCGCCGAAAACTTTTTCTAAATATTCTTGCCCAATTCTCAAATTATACATTTCTAAGGATTTCGAGAAGATAGATAAGCCTCTGAATAAGGTATTAAAGACATTATTACTAGAGCTAGAATTATTATTTGTTTGAGCTCCATGGTCTCTACTTCTTCTATTAGACGTGTAATTCTTTCTCGTCATTTTGTCTACACTCACCAATTCAACTTCCATTAAAGACTTAAACCACCTATCCTCAATACCTAAACTTTGAAATATGTCTAGCATAATCAAACTAACATTTTCAAATTCTGATGTTTGAACATTTTCATTACAAAACTTGATTAAATCCTTCATAGGAGCATTAAGTAACATGTTCTCTAGCGGCTTATAAACCTTGGGCGGTAAAATATGATGTTCCTTTAACTTTACGTTTAATAGTAATTTCCCTATCGGTAAATTAGATGAATCATAAATGGCTAGTCTAACAATATCATTGTTTGTGGTACTACTATCGGTCAGTTGAAGGCCATTAACGTTTATCGAGTTTCCCAAAGCAGAACCCATCATCATGGTAGAACTAGTATTCATTTGCTTAGTTAAAATATCCGGCGTAAGATAGACTGTACCTATTAATTTGTCATTAGGCAGGTAAGTAGATTCATTCGAAGACAATTTTTTGATTAAAATATGAATCATTTGCGTCAGTATCGGTAAATCAGTAACAAATTCCTCTTTCCAAAATGGATTTTCTGAATACGATACTAATGCTGTTCTTGACCACGGCAACCCCCACATTATGACTTCTGCATATATCTTTCCCGGGTTTGAAGTTCTAGGGAACTCATCAAGCTTAGCCTCTATTATGTCAATAAATACCTTTTTAGATACCCGTAAGTTTTCCTTGCTGTAATCAGATAATGGCACCGGATCTTGTGTTGTTGTGGAAGTATCAATATTAGAATTCTCTTGGTTTGATCGTTGGTTCAATGGAGACAGTCTTGGACTATAAGATCCGATATATTCCCTCATAGAAAAGTAATTTAATCCCACAAACCAATCTTCCAAATCTATATGTAACGGAAATTCTATTAATATACGTTGGTAGCTTGTAACGGTTTTACCATCCTTAAATAAAAAGGAATTGGTATCATTAGGATAACTAATAGCCTTGATGCAATTGTTTGATCTTAATTCTTTAATATTCCCAATGAATAATACGTTCGAGTTATCGAAAATTGAATGGTGAACTTGCCTAATCTCGGAAGACAAAATTTGCTTCATATCTATAGAATATAGTAAAGTACCATCCAATTCTGTAATAAAGTTTAATATACCATTTGATTTCAATACACCCATAGTATAAAACCATCCTTCGTTAACGTTATCTCCCTGTGAGTAATTTAAATTGCTGTTACCATTCATTCCGTCAATCTGGGAGTCAAACGTAGAATCTCCTTTCGGTTGATATACTGGTGCCTTAGTCCCAGGTACTACCTTTATATTCTTCGATTTAGATGGAATTGGACCGAAGATCTTGAACCTGCAAACCAATACTTCGTGAACAACCGATCCATTCGTAGAGGTTACTTTATTTTCACAGTACCATTTTTTGGCTAAGGTCTGAGGTTTCAATGCCTGCCAGACTAGTAAACATGGCATTAAGTTAACAAAATTAGTTTTGATCGGAATTTTAATATACAATTTTTCATTATCATATGTTTTGATGTAAACCACCGGTGGTTCCTCGTTGACGGAATGGTCTGAGTTATTAGACAATGAGCTAGCCTTTCTGGTAAGAATTCTTCTGGCTGGCGGCTGTTGTTGTTGCTTATTATTTAAGTGTGGTATTATCTGGACGTAACACGATTGCAAGGACTTTAATAAAATATACTGCTCCCCTTCCTCGTCTGTTGACGTCATTTGGCCTTCATTTGTTATTCGTAATGTGTGAACATAGTGCCAACTGATTGAATCGTTGGATACCAAGAAATTCCTCCCTTCAAATACTCCTTTGATTTTGGATATAACCTCATGAAATGGTGTTTGATACTTCATATCTATTAACGCTACTAGTGCATGAATTGAGGTATTGAAAAGATCACAATCTAAAAATACGTGTTTAACTCCACTACAATTAAATTCGTATCTGCCGTTCTATTAATCTATGATCCTAAGCTTGTCAAGAAGTTTTACGTTGGCTTTGAATGAAACTGAAACTGACTATGAACAAAAAATCTATTATTCTACGACTTTTTTTGTGCGCTACTTAGAACAATGTGTCAGGTGCAAATCGCTTCTTCGTTTATGCCCTATGCAATTTCATTCAATAGACCTCTAAAAAATCTGATTAACAATGCTTAGCCTTTACGTATATTATGGCTGGTGATTCATGTATTAGGCATATGTTTACTGTCCGCGGCAATATTTATAAATGCCGAAGTACTTAAATACTACACTGATTACAATTATCAATTATCTTGATCCAGCAAATATTTTGATGGATTGCTACATGTGTGTGTTTCAAAATCAATGAGGCAATACTCAATTATGACCATGTTGGATCACTCCTAGATACAAAAGTGATTCAATAAACCCAATTTGGAAATTATATGATCCCCAACATTCTGTAACTAAACACACTATAAAAGTTTATATTAGTTCAAAAAGCACAACAATAGCATAGAGTGTATATGTATTACTTTTGTCATCTCGTCTATGTGTTCGCACAAATGAATTTATTGAGACTATTCCCATGCCCAATTAGGTCAATAATTGTAGGAACGGAATTAGACGAGCGCCCGCATAATCAAAACAGTTATGTACTCTCGCATTGTACATATAGGCCCTTAAGACTATCGGTCTCACGACATTTACAGTTCTATGTGCTTGATTTAAATTGTAATACAAGCGGTCCTTAGATTGTGGTACTGAGTTGGTAGATCCCATCATAAATATTTACAGTGACTCTACCAAATAGCAAAAATTACTGTGCAACAACGACTAGTCGAAACTGAAGCATCTATGGTCTGATGATAAAATTTTACATGTCACAAATCAAGCCATGCACTGTAAATTGCTTGAAATTCAATTGTTAAGAGATTCCTGAGATGATCATACAATCTCAAAGGCCGCTCAACAGGGTTGGCTGCATTCCAGAATTCAGATTACCGTAGATATCATCCCCATCGATATAGCCAAAATGTTTGGTTATATGCAGTCTTTGAGAATGATTGAATTTTTCAAAATTTTTGAAGCGTTTAGATTTGCGTACGCTAGTTGTATTATCAAGATAATACATGGATTGGATATTATTAATTAGTAACTGATTTTTTTCCATACATTACTGATAAAGGTATAAATGAGTAATTTATTGTTTCAAAAATACGAGAGTAATTCGGGTGACGAGAATGATGAAGGATCTTCATTGAAGAATATTACTAGTGAAATGGCGACGAACGTTGAAGTTCCTAATGGAAATAACAGACCAGCTAATAATGATTATCAGTATTATGTTAGCAATGATGGAAATAGCGATACAAATGTTGACGTAAATTCTTGCTCAGACTTAGATTTACCGGAACAATCAAATGAGATATTACCAGAACATGCCTGTGCATATTGTGGTGTCCACTCCACCAACTGTGTCATCAAATGTAACACATGTAACAAGTGGTTTTGCAACTCCAAGTCTAATTCAAATGGGTCACATATTGTTACACATTTAGTCTTATCAAGACATAACGTTGTGTCCTTACATGAAGATTCGGATTTGGGAGACACCACGTTGGAATGCTATAATTGTGGAAATAAAAATGTTTTTATATTAGGATTTGTTAGTGCTAAACAAGAATCTGTTGTAGTTATACTCTGTCGTTTGCCTTGTGCTCAACTGAAAGATATAAATTGGGACACTAGTCATTGGCAATCCTTAATTGAAGATAGACAATTTTTACCGTGGATTGCAGCTAATCCATCCGAAGATGAACTTATAAATACGAATTTGATTACACACCAACAAATATCGAAGTTAGAAGCACAATGGAGGTTGAATAGGGATGCAACCATTAACGATATTAATAACGACTTGGAAGATGAAGAAGAAATTTTACCAATTTTGATGAGATACAATGATGCCTTTCAATATCAAAGGTCATTTGCACCATTAATCAAACTTGAAGGTGACTTTGATAAGAACTTAAAAGAATCCCAGGCCCTAGAACACATTCAAGTCAAATGGGCACTTGGTTTAAATAATAAACATTTGGCATCGTTTACTTTATCTACTTTTGAAAGTAATGAATTGAAGGTTGCAGTGGGAGACGAAATTATCCTTCGATATAGTGGGCTTAATCAAGAGCCTTGGGAAGGTAATGGGTATATTGTCAGATTGCCAAATGCATATCAAGAAGAGTTTACTTTAGAGTTGAATCCTTCAAAATTGCAACCGCCAATCCATTCAACAACTGATTTCACTGCAGAATTTGTTTGGAAAGGAACTTCGTATGATAGAATGCAACAAGCTATGAAAGATTTTGCTATAGAGAAAGAGTCAGTATCAAGTTATATTTATCATAAAATCTTAGGTCACGAAGTAGCGCCAATTGAGTTTGACATTAAGTTGCCTAATAAATTTTCACATCCAAATTTAACAGAATTAAATATGTCGCAAACAAATGCTGTGAGATCTGTCTTGCAAAGACCTTTGTCGTTAATTCAGGGTCCCCCTGGTACAGGTAAAACCGTAACTTCTGCGACTATTGTCTATCACTTATCCAAGTTGAGTAAAGAAAAGATATTGGTTTGTGCACCATCAAATGTAGCAGTTGACCACTTAGCGGATAAGCTTAATTTACTAGGTTTAAAAGTCATTAGATTAACAGCTAAATCGAGGGAAGATGTTGAAAGTTCTGTCAATGATTTGGCTTTACACAACATTGTTAACAAATCTGCCAAGGGCGAATTAAAGAAATTAATACGTTTGAGAAACGAATTAGGAGAGTTATCTGAATCTGATTCAAGACAACTCATTAGGTTAACTAGATCTTCAGAAATGAAGATTTTGAATAAATGTGATGTTGTTTGTTGTACATGTGTTGGTGCTGGTGACAAGAGATTGTCAAATTTAAAATTCAGAACTGTGTTGATTGATGAAAGTACGCAAGCTTCTGAACCTGAAGTCTTGATTCCAATAGTTAAAGGTGCTAAGCAAGTTATATTGGTCGGTGATCATCAACAATTAGGGCCTGTAATATTAGATAAAAAGGCAGGTGATGCTGGATTAAAGCAGTCATTATTTGAAAGGTTAGTCGTATTAGGACATGTGCCTATCAGATTAGAAGTTCAGTATAGAATGAATCCTTGTCTATCTGAGTTTCCATCAAATATGTTCTATGAAGGCTCATTACAAAATGGTGTTACAGCGAAGCAAAGATTAATCGAAAATTCAATATTCCCTTGGCCTGTTCTCGATAACCCGATGATGTTCTGGGCAAATTATGGTAGAGAAGAAATATCTGGTAGTGGTAATTCGTTTTTAAATCGAGTGGAAGCTATGAATGTTGAAAAAATAATTACTAAACTATTCAAGGATGGTATAGAGCCTAGCCAAATTGGGGTTATCACGCCTTATGAAGGTCAGAGAGCATATATTGTTCAATATATGTCAATGAATAGTACTTTAACCGAATTAAAAGACAAATATTTAGAAGTTGAAATTACAAGTGTTGATGCTTTCCAAGGTAGAGAGAAGGATTTCATCATCTTGAGCTGTGTTAGAGCTAACGATCTGCAAGTTATTGGATTTTTAAGTGATCCAAGAAGATTGAATGTTGCTTTAACAAGAGCCAAATACGGATTAGTGATTTTAGGTAATCCAAGAGCATTGTGCCGTAACACTTTATGGAATCATTTATTAATTCATTTTAGAGAAAAGGGATGTCTAGTCGATGGTTCGTTGGATAACTTGCAGTTATCTATGGTCCAGTTAAATAATCTTAAAGCAAACGCTAATACACCACATTCGAAGAAATTCGTTTCGCATCAACCATTTAACAATGAATTCGATACTGCAAGTATTATGTCCTACGCACCGGATCATAATAACTCAATGCTTTCAGGACAACAGTGGCCAAGTTTGGGTAAGGTCAGCGATGAAAGGAATACTTTTATGGAAGGTTCTAATCCAATTAATGCTAACTTCGTTAGTAAGTTAAATAAACTAGGCAATATTGGTACTTCTTATAACCTGGGAAATCTGAATGACGAAATTAAGAACATAACTAGTTCATTTGCTGCAGGGTTTAATTTGAACTAGGAATATTTTATTACAAAGGTAAATAAGTTAGGTAGTATATACATAGCATTCTTATAAAGTTGGATTGTCAAATTTTTGAATTTTTTTGACATGGATTTCTCACAAAAATGACATTCCCCTGGTAAAAATGTAAATAGAATGAGAAACTAAGTATACCGATTGAAAAAACTATCACACTACTTAAAAATACTATAATTAGCTATGTCTGTGGATAGAGAAGAAAGTGCTAATCATGGATATAGTCAAGTTCGACAGTTGATTGATCCCTTAAAGTCTAATTTGCAAAATAATAGCAATAGCTTTAATGGAAATAATGTTAATGGTCTAAGTAATGCCCACAAAAATAATAGTGATATCTCGATATCTAATACTAGTATGGATGAATCAAGCTCTAATCAAACTACAGTGAATGATTATGAATCTAACGGTGATTCGAATTCAATTATATTTAAAAATAATCATAGAACTAAATTAACAAGTCAAGACGTGAGGTTAATACTATATCTAACGATCAATATTAAACCATTTAAATATGTTGGAGATAGATCACTTAGCCAAACGAAAAAGTGGGAGATAATTCAAACAAAATATGCAGAGATTAAGCGCAAAGATTCTGATGGATATCCAGAAGTAGTTGTGCCCACAGTAAGAACTTTGCAACGACAATTAGCTACGGCTATCAAAAAAGCTCGCCTGAGACAACAGAATAAGAAAAGAAAAGATAATAAAAATTTAGAATCTTCGTATTTGATATTAAGTACAATTAACAAGGAAAGTTCTTTGCCTGATTTAGAACTAGCATTATTAGAATTAAATGATCTCAGCGAAAAGTTGAAGACTGGTAAAGGAACAAATACTCCTGTTGCGATTGAATTGCCCAATCCTAGTATTCTACAATCATTTGACTTGAATAAATCAATTACATCACCAATTGAAACTTCTCATATGTCAACGAACATGCCGACTACCATTTCTACATCAAATCATACCCAATTCGCTACCCAATCTTCGCATATATCCCCGAAATCCAGCACTTTACTACTGAACGTTCATGATACTTATAATACGATTCGAAAAGCCATGAGCGAAAGTAATACATCCTATTCTCTGCAAAGCTTATATAGCTTATTGGGAAAATTACTTAAAGAATATAATCAGTTTCAGGCTCAGCAACAAAAGGAAAACGAGAAAATCATAGAAGAGAATATCAAACTTATAAAGGAGCAAAATGAGAGATGTAATAAAATAATTGAATCGAATAATAAGTTTCAAAAAGAACAGAATGAACTAAATAAGCAGTTGATACTAGAAGTTATCAATACGTTATCTCAAGATTCAAATCCTTCAATATCAAACAAATCTTCCCTCAAGCCTTTCCATGATTTATTGTAACATCTAGATTGCACACGTATGATCTGAATTACTCACTGTTATCTCACTAACTACAGATTTGTATTACTAAATTAGTTAACTATTGTTAGCGTCCTCAATAGTATTTGATTAATTATCAATTACTTGTCACATCAATCAGTCCGTTACTTGTTCTTGTTATTAAGTCATTCTTATACTCAATATTTTTCAAAATAAGAAGAGTCATCTCACCAAAGAAAAATAGTTTACTCGCTTAGAGAAACGTGAAAGAATTTACTGACTCTACCAAAAAACTACTTTGAAAATGAAAAATTTGTTACATAATATTACAGGGTCTCGATATTACTCTTTAAGGGAAATAGGTAGGGTTGCATCATCAAATAATTTCAAACTTTACGCAATACCACTTTAGGCAATTCCTTACAATATTTATTACTGCTTAAGGATATTCCTTTAAAGGTAATACACATTAATCGCTAAAGCATGGAAGACTGGGGTACTTTCCAGATTTGATTAAAGTTACCCAAAATGACCAAACCAGAATCACTTATTGTCTGATAATAAGGTCCTATTACAGGCTAGTAAAATCTGTAAATCGGAGTTTAAAATTAGATGAGGAAAGGAAACCTAAGAATTTAATGTAATCTCAATGTAATATTATCATATAATCTACTAACTAGGTATAAAATATAGATAACTTACAACCAATAAATAATAATTGCATCATTAAAAGAGACTAGATAATAGTCACATTAACAACTAACCGAATTAATAAAATATAATATGGGAGGGGGTATCAAACAAATGTATCATTGAATTACCGAAAATAAACAATGTAACGAATACGAAAGCAAAGCAATTCACATAAAATATGAAAATTATCAAATGAAAACCAGACGATCAATGAAGCGTAGCAAAAATAAAAAGAATTCTATCAAATAAAACTCAATGATACCAAATGTTGAGAAGCCAAATTAATGGCACGAAACAAAATGCAAGACCGATTTAACGGCACGAAAGTAAATGCAAGCCAAATTATTGGCACGAATGAATGCAAAACTGATTTAACAGCTAGAATGTAGTTTCAAAGATGTCAAGTTAATGACAAATCTAATGTAATATAAATAGGTACCAGTTTAATGGCACGAAAATTAACAAAACCAATTTAATGGCACGAATAAATGCAAGCCTTTTTCCGGCACGAAAATGTAAGGCAAACCCAAATTAAAGGGTGCGAAACAAATAAGCCAATCCTATGGTACGAAATTTTAGGCAATCTAATAAAAACCTTAAGAATGGTATGAGATCTTGAAGACAAGAACAAAAATGTAAGCCAAAACTGGCACGAAAAGTAATGGTTATAAAATGTAAACTGAATACCTCATAATTTCCCAAAATATTTTCAGTAAGAAACATAAGAATTGAAATCGAAATCAAATTGATTATGTCCCATAATTTCATTGGAGCCACAACCTCCAATTAAGAAAGCGTCCATATTTGTAGACGTTAATAAATCATTGGTGTAATCATCAGCGTCAGAGTATTCAGTATTTGGAGTAAAACTACTAGATTCTGACATCACTAAATTAGCTTTGTTAGAGAATTCATCACCATTTAAAGCCATGTGCATTTGATTATTGAAGTCAATAAAATCTAAAAGATCAGTTTCTTTTGGAGTGGCTAATACTGGTTCCGAAATTGTGCGTCTATGGCACAACTCTTCCTTCTTCTCCTTAGCCAAAGGGGCTTTGTAAGCTCTGAATTGTAAGGACGAACTAGTCTTCTTCTTTGAAGCTTCGCTTGTCGACTTTGCCCTTTTGTGAATAGTTTTTTTGCTCTGTGTAGGTAATTCAGGGACAGTGTTTGATCTCTTTAAATTATCATATTGAGGCTCAATGCTTGATTGAGTATTCTCCGGAAATGGGTTGATATGCGAGTGATAAGCCACCGAAGGTTCTAAATTCATATCCTCTTGGTATATATCAGCATTCTCACTCATCCAATGGCCTGCATTAGATGACATGTCCATATTAAGTAAGCCTAATCCAAGCATGGTATCATTGTTTTCAGTATGATGGGTATTAATTTGGTTATATTCCTGCATGTAAGATTCATTTCCGAAAGTGGAAGACTTGGACATGATCGACGAATCTTCTAACGATGAGAAAATAGATTCTTCATCGGACTGCAGAGACTGAAAAGAGTCGTTCGAGGCGGACAATTCGTAGTTTGAAGCAGTATTCAATTTCTGGTTATCCAAAACAGTAGTGTCTGGTGTAGTAGTTGGTGAGACTAAACTGGTTTTTTCATCCTCGTCTGACGAGTCGTCAAGGTTTTTAACAGGAGATAAATCCACAAATACAAAGTTCCTTGGCATTCCAGACCTCTTCCTGGGCCTCTTTGAAAGAGGTTTCCTTGTTTGACATTGCTGTCCTGCGGCGGCAATTTGTAATGAATTGTGTAAACACTCGATCACCCTATTTTGTTTTGGAGTCTTAGAATTTTTGGTCAGCGAACTCTCTTTCTTTATTCTCCATCTCTTTTGCTTATTAGCTGGATTTTCTATTATGGTACTATTAATGGTTAATATCTTATTCATGTAATTAGTGCTACCAAAACTGTGAGCTATTATTTTATTGCAATGATTATACTTACTTCTTACCTTCCATCTTCTTTGTATGGGTATCAATTATAGTAAAGCACGAAGAAGGAATATATTTAATAGTTGTAATCACAATTGTCTTAGAAATCTAAAAAAATACCTGGGATTCCAAGGGTATTTATCATTTCAACTTTTGGTAATTCCATCCAAAGGAGTATTGCATTCTTCAATTACGAAATTCAGGTGCCTTTCAATTTTAAGTATTGTTCCTTTGTTGTTAATTAGATGCATAAGTGGATGCAAAGACGTAATTGGAAAGGTAAGTAGCTTTCATCTGAAAGTTTGATTATTTTCATGTCCCATTTGGGCATTGTGGATCGCTTTTTCGAAGCCGCATAATTTAAAAAAATATTTTATTAATCGTCCCCAGATTTCATGAATAAAGCCTATTTCAAAATTTATTTTCCGTCTTAATGCCTTCACTCACTAAACTTTGATAGACCTTCAATTGACTTCATTACTTACTATGTTCTACATTCTTTCCAATAAGTATACCTATGTAATTCTTCTCTTTGACTTTCTCTTCATACTTGGGGCTTTTGTTAATTGATCGCACAATAATCCTTACCTGTTTCAGCTGAATAATTGTCCTTAGATCAATGTTGTAACCATGCGCATAATTAAAAATTACCTTAATAGGTAAATTGATTTGCATATTATTTTCCTAAACTGGCAGAAAGAATAACTCCTCACTTTCTTCATTAGGCATATGACGCATTAAATTAAAATTAACACATGCCGCTTACAAAGGTGGAGATCAGCCTAATTAGGCAAGCTAATTATAATACAGTGCTACACTTGCAGAAGAATAGTTACAGTGCGACCTAATCGGGAGAGGGGATAAATAAATGGGAGCCTAAGGCGCTTTCGCTAACATGGCAAAGAAGGTGCGATGCGTGTGAATGTCTTTGAAGGCTGTAGAGGCTTACTTGAAGAAATATAGTGTCTTTTTAGAGTAGTGCTACAATGTCTGAAAAATCAAATCTATATCATACTGATTAAGATCTTATGATAACATGTTTAGTCATATCCGCGTGCACTTGTTAGATGGTGGGGTAGTGTCCCCTATTAGGATGTTTTTACGATCTTTTTATTTCACCTCGAAGGAGTCGTTTTGGATAAAGGCATTCCAGTTGATACTGACGCTTAAATGATGGCTCGTGCAAAAGTTAGACCCCTCATTTAACGGAAGCCTAAATAAACAGTAGCTGTCTGTGTATAAGCAATTATTTTTACGATATGACGCTCCTAATGGTGATGCGAATCCTAATTAGGCCTTAAGGGGGGTATCATTCCATGCACATGGAATTTGATTTGCAATAAATGGGGGACTAGCGATGCTGAGTGCCTATAAGAAGAACATGCTCGTATTGCTTCGCGGCCTAAATTGAATTTCTATTGTGCATTCCTAATTAGTTCATTGCAGAGAACTAATTAGGAATTCAGATTACAGACTATTAGATGATACATTGCATTGTATAAACGACCTATGCTTATAGAGTGTGTAACTAAAATGCCTAATCACTAACCGAACTGGCATAAAGCAACTTAACAATTGCAGTATGTAATCGTTGGTCTCTGGGCAAAGTATATCGAGCTAGATGAACAGCCTAATCAAGATCTAGATCTCTTTTCAGTTAACTAATGTGGATTCGTATTTCTAAATCAGTATTGATTAACATATGTATATGATACGATGAAGTTTAATTCATTTCCACCCGCCCCAATCAAGATACCAGTCCACCACTTTAGGTCCTATGTTTTTACATAATATCCTAGCAATTATTGGTTGCATTAAATCAATAATTACATAACAAGCTATTCAAATACCATTCCAGAAAGCAAGGTATTGTATAAAATTAATATTCTTATGGAAGTGTTACAGATGGATATGTTCCCTGCTCGTGGTCAAATATGAGATCCTTACTTCAGTTCATTGTTGTTAGAGGCCAGGTTGTTCTGCTCTACTAGCCCTCGTAACTTTTCTTTGGCCTCCGGGGTATAATCTAAGGTTCTTGTATCTAGTTGTTTTATTTGTAATCCAACATGTTCTTTTTTACGTCTCTCGATCTCTTCTGGGGAATGAGGTGTGAACTTAATATATTCGAAATCTTTGCCTGCGTCCATGAGAAGATACATTCCCGCCATTAAGGCTATGGTTCCCACTACCAATCTATGGCTAAACGGTGGAGTTGCTGGAAGCTTTTGAGTCATTTTAGCCTTTGTATATTGTTCAAATTCTATGTTACTAGCCGAAGATCCAATTGCACAATTTTTATTCACCAAAATTATCTGTGCCGTGCACGCACAATTCAGCGGTTTGGTCAATCCTTAATCAAAGGGATTCAATTCGCATATTAGAACTGTACCAGGGGACACCCGAAAACTAGATTAAAATATTGTCGAGATGGCAGCATTACCTAAGAGAATTATCAAGGAAACTGAGAGACTTGTATCAGATCCTGTTCCGGGCATTACAGCTACACCTTCCGAGGAGAATCTTCGTTATTTTGAAGTTACAATTGAGGGCCCATCTTCTTCACCTTACGCTAATGGATTATTCAAATTGGAGCTCTACTTACCTGACGATTATCCCATGTGTGCCCCTAAAGTCAGATTCTTAACCAAAATATATCACCCCAATATTGACAAATTAGGTAGAATCTGTCTTGATGTATTGAAGGATAACTGGAGTCCAGCATTACAAATCAGAACAATCCTTTTGTCTGTTCAAGCCTTATTGGGAGCTCCAAACCCAGACGATCCATTGGCTAATGACGTGGCAGAAGACTGGAAGAAAGATGAAAAAGCTGCCATTGAAATGGCCAAAGAGTGGACTTCGAGGTATGCTATGCAAAACTAGCTTGTGGTTTACAATCTCGCGATAGTATATAGGATACAGTGGTTTCAGCATTGCCGCTAAACTCATTAACGCGTTAAAATATTTGTAACTATTTTTAGTGCGGTCGACAGGATACTTCTCAGTTCGACCCTGCGAGCTGATGATCCGGGTAGATGAATGTTTCGAGTCCGCTTCAATAATTCGTACGACTTCTACCTTAGCATTCTCCTCTACATCAGATATACCTACATAGTTTAATCTCATGTACTATTTACTTTTACTCCTTATTATCTATGTCGACACTAGACTCGTTTAATGGTCCGGGTCGGATCAGACGGCCCTTTCGGCTTTAAAGTACCCGACCGTGCATTCAACAAATGTCTCAAATTGATCTACAGTTTCAAGAACTGAATTCTACCTCAGCAAGATGCTAAACTCTATAGCATTCTTGATTGCTTATTCGAATAAGCGTACTTGGTATATCATGCCTTCTATTCCAAGTATCCCGAAGTTATTCGGCGTTGTAACGAGATTCCTTGACGAAATCAAAATCGCGTTAATCTTTGTAATCAATTTTTTTTTCGCATGAAACGTTAGATCGCGGATCTAAATCAGTTTTCCTTAATAGCAGTCTCTAAAACTTTTCTTTTCTCCCTTTTTAATAAGAATTGACCAGTTCTGTTTATTGCAAATCATTTTGTCGGCATCCTAAACTGCTAACAGGTTTTACTCATTATTCCTTATTCAAAACTGAGGAATTATAGTATAGAACAAATTATTTTACAGATACAGGCTCTTAGACGCCGAGGAAACCACTATGACTAAAAACGATGAGCAGAGTCCTTTTGCAGATCAGAAAAACGAGAGCTTTTCTAATGAAAATACATATATAGATGACTTAGTGGATACGACACAGAAGAGGAATTTTAGTGACGATAGTTTCAAATCGACCAACCTGTTCACTAACTCGATAATCCAGTCGCCTACCGAATCGCATTTCAGTTTTCATCATACCAGTTCTAGTGCTCAAGGAGAGCACATATCGCCGACCAGAAAATCCTCTCTCAGGTTTAAGCTTCCCAATACTACCGCGTCATCTCCCCCAACGACGTCGTCTACTGCAAACACGGTGAAGCAACAGGGTTCCATACATAATAAAGTTGGCTCACCTTTCGTGAATAATATAATAAATGAAAATGAGGTTTATAAAGCCCCACAGTCGCCATTTACAGACGAGTATAGACATGCTACTTTTGATGGGGATGACGAGCACTATTACCATGCTGACCAAGATTCTATTGCAATGGATCATAAGGAAACAACGATGAAGAGGCATAGATGGGGAACAACAAGAGATAAAAAAGGGAAACCTAAGAAGGAGAACATGGCTAGGTCGAAGACCTTGAAAGGAATATTGCTGCATAATGGAAGTATGGTGAGGTCGAAAACTAAAGGTCATAAGGGACGTAATCATTCGATTAGAAAGCCAAAAACAAATAACGAAAGTGACGATGATGATGATGATAATGACGAAAGTGAATCGGAGGAGGAAGCAAAAGATCCTAGGGACCATAAAGATGAAAAGCGATCTATTGTTTTTAACAGGCAGTTACCAGATGAATTTTTAGACTCAGAAACTGGCAAGCCTAACACGTCATATGCAAGAAATAAAATCAGAACAACAAAATATACTTCCTTGTCATTCTTGCCGAAAAATATTTCAAATCAGTTTATCCATAATGTGGCTAATATGTATTTCTTAGCTTTAATCATTTTGGGCGCGTTTGATATTTTCGGCGTTCCAAGCCCAGTATTGGCAGCGGTTCCTTTGATTGTAATCGTTATTATTACTGCAATTAAAGATGCATTTGAAGACTCGAGGCGTACTATCTCGGACTTAGAAGTTAATAATCAAATCACTCATATATTGGATAATAATGCTGCATATGAAAACCCCAATTACGTTTATGCCAATCAAAATGTGAACGATGAAAAGGTCTCTTTATGGAGAAGATTCAAAAAGCTCAACACAAGACTATTGTTCAGGTTTATCAACGGGTGTAAGAGGAATTTAACAAAGGAAGGTAAAGCTAACAAACTACGCGAGAAACAGAAAAGTAACAAGCATGAAGACCACAAAGAAGTCATGAGGAAAAGTTTCGATAGTGATTTTATTCTAGAAACATCAAGACCTTCAATGAGCGAGAATCCCTTCAGCGAAAATTCCTACCGCCAATCGTTTCAACAGGGCCGACAATCGATGCAAAGCCATCGTTCGATGAGAAGACATCATCGTGAAAAGACTTTGAAATTTACAAAGAAGTATTGGAAGGATGTCAAAGTAGGTGATATGTTGAGAATCTATAACAATGATGAAATACCTGCTGATGTTATTATCTTAGCAACAAGTGATGAAGATAATTGTTGTTATGTCGAAACTAAAAACTTGGATGGGGAAACTAATTTGAAGGTTAGACAAGCTTTGAAATACGGATCTACTGAGAACAAAATTAAAAAAGCAGATGATTTAATGGATCATCAGTTTCAAATTGACAGTGAAGGTCCTCATCCTAATTTATATTCATATCAAGGAAACTTGAAGTATTTTGATGAGCATACTAATGATTTAAAACAAGAAGCTATCACAATCAACAACCTCTTATTAAGAGGTTGTTCCTTAAGAAATACTAAATGGGTTATCGGTATAGTTGCATTCACAGGAGAAGACTCGAAGATTATTCTTAACGCTGGAGTAACTCCTACAAAACAATCTAGAATGTCGCATGATTTAAATTATTATGTTTTGCTTAATTTCTTGTTGTTATTCATCATATGTTTTGTTTCTGGTTTAGTAAATGGTCTATGGTATAGAAATCACAATACCTCTCGAGATTACTACGAGTTTGGTACAGTAGCTGGTTCACCTGCCACGAATGGTTTGGTAAGTTTCTTTGTCGCTGTTATCTTATACCAATCTTTAGTTCCAATCTCATTGTATGTTACGATAGAAATTATTAAAACCGCACAAGCATTTTTCATATATTCCGATATTGGTATGTATTATGAAAAGCTTGACTATCCTTGCACGCCAAAGTCTTGGAATATATCTGATGATTTAGGTCAAATTGAGTATATTTTCAGTGATAAGACTGGTACATTAACACAAAACTTAATGGAATTCAAAAAATGTACCATTAACGGTGTTTCATACGGTAATGCATACACAGAAGCATTAGCAGGTTTGAGGAAGAGACAAGGATATGATGTTGAAACTGAAGCTGCACATGAGAGAAAATTAATTGCTGAGGATAGAGAAATAATGATTCTGAAATTAAAAAATCTTACTTCTGGAAGCTTGAATTACGAGGATAGTTTATCGTTTGTTTCGAGCCAATTTGTTGATGACTTGGAAGGCAAGGGAGGTGAAAAACAACAGGCTTGTAATTCCCATTTTATGTTGGCTCTAGCATTATGTCATTCGGTTTTAGTTGAAGAGGATCCAAAGGATGCTAAAAAACTTCTTTTGAAGGCGCAATCGCCTGATGAAGCTGCTTTAGTAGAAACCGCCAGAAGTGTTGGTTTCGCTTTCAAGGGTAGTACGAAGAAAGGTGTTCTTGTAGATGTACAAGGTAAAACTAAAGAATACCAAGTCTTAAATACTTTGGAATTTAATTCGACCAGAAAGAGAATGAGTGCTATTATTAAAATTCCGGGCGACACTGAAGATGATGAGCCAAAGGCCTTATTACTTTGTAAAGGTGCTGATTCGATTATTTATGACAGATTAGCGTCAAATAATAATAAGGAATTGCTTGAGACTACCTCTAATCAGTTAGAGCAGTTTGCAACTGAAGGTTTAAGAACTTTATGTATTGCTCAGCGAGAGATGACATGGTCAGAATATACAGAATGGAACAAGCGCCATAAAGAAGCTGCATCTTCGTTAGATAACAGAGAAAGTAAAATGGAGGCGGTTGCCGATTCTATAGAAAGAGAATTATTTTTATTGGGAGGAACAGCTATTGAAGATAGATTACAGGATGGTGTTCCAGATGCAATATCCATTTTAGGACAAGCTGGTATAAAATTATGGGTTTTAACTGGTGATAAGGTTGAAACGGCTATCAATATTGGTTTTTCTTGTAATTTACTTGGAAATGATATGGAATTATTAATTTTGAAGACAAAGTTAGATGATGATGAAAAAGCTAAGCACGATATTGATGCAAAATGCAATGAAACAAAAATAATTGATAGATTGATTTCAAATTATTTATCAAATTATTTCAATATGACTGGTTCCGAAGAAGAACAAGAAAAGGCAATCGAAGATCATAGTCCACCAAATGAAGGCTTCGGAGTAGTTATTGATGGTGATGCGTTAAAGTTAGCACTTCTTGATCGTGACATTAAGAGGAAGTTTTTATTGCTATGCAAGCAATGTAAGGCTGTATTGTGTTGTCGTGTTTCCCCAGCACAAAAAGCAGCAGTTGTTAAATTAGTTAAAGACACATTAGATGTTACTACTTTAGCAATAGGTGATGGTTCAAATGATGTAGCAATGATTCAAGCGGCAAATGTTGGTGTTGGTATTGCTGGTGAAGAAGGGAGACAAGCTGTCATGTCGTCAGACTATGCTGTTGGTCAATTCAGATTCTTAACAAGGTTATTGTTAACTCATGGAAGATGGTCTTATAAGAGATTTAGTGAAATGATCTTGAGTTTTTTCTATAAGAACGTGATTTTTTCAGTTGCATTATTCTGGTATGGTTGTTATAATAACTTCGATGGGTCATATTTATTTGAATATACCTACTTAATGTTTTATAACTTAGCGTTCACATCATTACCAATTATTTTCTTAGGAATTTTAGATCAAGATGTACCAGCAAAAGTTGGATTATTAGTGCCTCAATTGTATAAAACAGGTATTATGAGATCCGAATGGACGGAAACTAGATTCTGGTGGTACATGGTTGATGCAATCTACCAATCGGTAATTTCTTTCTTCTTCCCGTACTTAATGTACTACAAGGGTTTTCAAAGTATGAATGGATTAGCTATTGACCATAGATTTTGGATCGGTATAGTCGTTACATGTATCTCATGTATATCGTGTAACTTGTACATTTTGTTCCATCAATACAGATGGGACTGGTGGTCTACTTTATTTGTTGCATTGTCAATTCTAGTGGTTTTTGGATGGACTGGTATATGGACTGCTCCTCTATACAGTCAAGAGTTCTACAAAGCAGCTCCTCAAATGTTCGGTGCTGCTTCATTCTGGGCTTGTACATTTATCGGTGTATTGGCGTGCTTGATTCCTAGATTTTTCTATGACTTCCTCCAAAAGCTTTATTGGCCTAAAGATATTGATATTATTAGGGAGTGTGTCCAAAGGGGCGATTTTGATCCTTATCCAGAAAACTACGATCCAACTGATCCAAACAGACCTAAAATTAGTCTGTACACAAACGAAAATGTTAAGAGAATGAGTATGGGCAACAATCCTAATACTCCACCCGAAATGTACAAGGACTTCACCCCTAGTAACAGTGATTTAGAGTACAATGCCAGCTACGAGAATTTGGGCCAAAGCTCGGCCATTAGGACCAATGCCATTGAACACGGTACTCATCATCAAGCAATTGAGGGCAGTCCCGACATCAACGGACAACCAAAGAATGTTAACCCTGAATCCATGGTACACAGGCTGAGCCCCAGCAAGGCATCACATAGAAAGTCTCTTCACAAGATGTTTAAGCGTAATAGCAAATCAGGTTCAATCCATCATGGGGCAGACTACAACGACCCGTATAATAGAGCTGTTAACGCCGAGGATATAGCGCTGTCCATACAAACGGAAGAAATACCATTGGATGACTTCAGCCTGCCAGTTACTATGTCTACACAAGTCAAGGTACCTCGTATTGGCCATTGACTACAATTTCAACCACTGCATGACTTAAATAAAGCATAAACACGTATGTAAATTAAATATTAAAATAGACAAGTAAAATATTACCCTTTGGCACTGTAGGGATGATCAGCGACCGATTCACTTATCCATATTTAATCACCCACAATCAAACGATTCACCCCTTTCTATCACATTGAACCGATCGGGCAATAACCTTGATCGCCATCTAGAGATCTTTGACCTTCGCCTATGAGTTGATCCGATGCACACAGATTGCAAAACGGCATGCAAAAAGAAATGCCGGTTCCAAAAAAGAAACGGCCTATCATGTGAAAATCTACAATTGTACCTTACTTGCCTTCTACACCCAATCGATACATTTGTTCCGTGTCAGTATTAGGATCTACATACCCATGAACATCCATACCTCGCTACTAAGACGTACACATCTCTTTTAGACTCTTATCACCACCTTGAATGCCTCTGGGGCGGTCCGTCCACCTCGATTTGCCAGGAAAACCGTGTTTGTGTAACTCACTCCACTACGAACCCTACGACTTGATTTCAACCCCAGACTCCACCATCTATAAGTAACCTTACCAATGGTCGAGTCTCTGACTGTCCCGATCCCCATGTATCCATAGTAGCTCATTCAAAAGGCTACAACAAGTGTTCCCTATCTTCTAGAAAGACTTCGTCTCCCGGAACCACATAGGTTACCCTGACAATAAGGAAAAACGTGAATCGGCCAATCACAATAGTGTTTTCGGATGTTTGTGTAATTTGAGCCCGATAAAATCCGTTTCTGTTTTTCATCAAAAAAAAATTTCATCCGGCTGAAAAATATATATAGAGATCTATTTCACTTGAAAATTTTTTTTATTAACTTTCTTCTTTTCTTTATACATTATTTATTTGTAACAAACTAATAAATTTTAGTTAAATATATTCATACACAATGGGTGATTCTACTTTCTTGATTGACTTTATGATGGGTGGTGTTTCCGCCGCCGTCTCTAAGACCGCCGCTGCTCCAATTGAAAGAGTTAAGTTATTAATCCAAAACCAAGATGAAATGATGAAGCAAGGTCGTTTATCTAGAAAATACGATGGTATTATCGAATGTTTCAAGAGAACTGCTGCTGAAGAAGGTATGACCTCTTTCTGGAGAGGTAACACCGCTAATGTTATCAGATACTTCCCAACCCAAGCATTGAACTTCGCTTTCAAGGACAAGTTCAAGGCTATGTTCGGTTTCAAGAAGGATGAAGGTTACTGGAAATGGTTCGCTGGTAACTTAGCTTCCGGTGGTTTAGCTGGTGCCACTTCTTTGTTTTTCGTCTACTCTTTAGATTACGCCAGAACTAGATTAGCTAACGATGCTAAGTCTTCTAAGGGTGACGGTCAAAGACAATTCAACGGTTTAATCGATGTTTACAAGAAGACTTTAGCTTCTGATGGTATTGCTGGTTTATACAGAGGTTTCGGTCCATCTGTTATCGGTATTGTTGTCTACAGAGGTTTATACTTCGGTTTGTACGATTCCTTGAAGCCAGTTGTTTTAGTCGGTCCATTAGAAGGTAACTTCTTAGCCTCTTTCTTATTAGGTTGGGTTGTCACCACCGGTGCCTCTACTGCTTCTTACCCATTAGATTCTATTAGAAGAAGAATGATGATGACCTCTGGTCAAGCCGTTAAGTACGACGGTGCTTTCGATGCTTTCAGAAAGGTTGTTGCCGCTGAAGGTGTCAAATCCTTATTCAAGGGTTGTGGTGCTAACATCTTAAGAGGTGTTGCCTCCGCCGGTGTTATTTCCTTATATGATCAATTACAATTGATCATGTTCGGTAAGAAATTTAAATAATCTAGTCGATACGCTATTACTGTATAATGTATGTATATATTTTTATTGATTAGTTTTTTTAATATATTAAATTGCTGAAAATTGTTTAATTAGTAGGATATACCTGCGTAGAAAGTAAATGCCTCGTGGTTCTTTACTTAATTTTCACAACTACTTGGGAATGAAGCAGATAAATTTACTTTATTGGAAAATTTTGGATCAGGTCTTTATTCTCCAGTTTGCCTATCTTTGTTAGAACTTTCGGAGGGTATGTGGTGAAGCGGATCTGTTATCAGCATCACATGTCTTTTATATTTGATTTTAACGTAACCATGGTCAAGAATAAGCCTAAATGTATTCAAATTATACACAGGAAGGAGGGTACTCTAAATAGGTAAAGTAAAGTATAACTTAATGAATCGTTTGCCGCGTTAAACATATATAACGAAAATCTAGTGCTTTTCTCTACTCTATTATTACTTCATGAATATTTTGATATTAATTTCACTCTTTAATCTTGACAAATACGTTAAGTATGCACATAGCATCAAGCTACAAGATATATATAATATTCAATTTCTTGTTTAATATATCTGTAAAAAAATTGATAACTTCTATTTTATAATTTTGTACATTTTTGTCGCAAAATTGCAAAACTAAAGGAATTCTCTAGATTTTTACATATTTTTGCAAATTTTAACAAAACAATCAATAGATTACAACAATAATTCTCAGGAAACAATAAGTACTTTTAAAATATTTAATATAAAACAAACAACTTATACAAAATTTAAAAAAGAATAAAAAAAGAACCAAATTATCACTATTTGGAACAATGTACCAATAATATAGATCTGTTCAATGCATTCGACCACCTAGAAATATAATTTTTAACGAGTATGCATAGACATCTATTGTGCTCAATAGATATTCAACAAACAAAAATATAAATATTGGTATCCCCCAATGTTCCAAAGAGAGAAAACTAATTCTAAGCTTTGTACTTAGCAAAATTCAAGTACAACAATTTATAGCCGAACTTCAAGTCATATAAAACTCTTTCTTGTTTTTCATAGCCATGTTCACTTAAATCATCAGCACAATTTGATAAATCATGGAAATTGAACTTATCATGGGAGTCTTCAGATTCCGTAATAAATGTGACAGAAAATTTTCCAGGTTGGAAGATGTCTAACACTTTATTCAATACATCAACTACGCTTTCATTACTATCCTTTGTGAAAGGGTAATTAGTTTCAAATGAAGCATACGACCAGCCAGATTCTGGTGTAATATGTAACGTGTAGTAATATCCACCATTATTCGAAGTGATAGAATTTGACGAATATCCACAGGGACTGAATGCAAATGCATCATGAATAAACTTGAATTTTTCTGATTTAGTTGCTGAAGACTCCTTCAGATATTCATCTGAATCTAATTCCATACTGTCAGATAAGGAAGGAGAAGGCAAATGATGGGATTTGAGCTTCCTATTAGACCCATCGAAGATGGAATCTAATTTACTCTTACACATGGTTTGCATTCCCATATCATGGCCGAGATCATGTTCCTCTTCTTCACTTGTCTCTTTAATTAAAGAGTCAGCGCCGGGCTTTCTATCTGCAATAAAATTTGCAGCCTTCTCGGGATTTAACTCAGTCATTAATATTTCAAAGGTTTGATCACGAGTATTACCATTAGAGTTTTCAGTAGAAGGCACAGAATCTCTGCCTCCCATATACAAATACCAATGATCATCACTAGTGAAGTCTCCTACTATGTATGACTTTCCGTTTTGGAAATATTTATTCAATAAGGTGACTTCTTGTTTCCAGTTTCTATGCACATGCTTTTGCTTATCTGGAAACATGAAGGATCTTCTTGAATAGAATATTTTGTGCACGTTATAATCATCAAAGTCCATGCCTTCAACATATTGATTAACGATTTCGAATAATTTTTCAAGACATGCTAATGTTGTAGTAGTTCCACATGTTTTCAAGATCAACTTATGAGGGAATACAAACAACGAAGATTCAGATAACAAGTATGCATCCATGAATTTTGAGGATTTCATGGATAATATTTTACAACTGACTAAATCTAAAACTTTAACCCATTTTTCTAAAGGAATGCTACGCAAACCCTCCGATTCTTTTGGGACATCGCTTTCAGAATTAAAGAACCAGATCTCTAATAGTTTTTCAGGACCTTCAAAGGCAAATGTTGAATCTAGGTTTGCAGATAACTCATGATCGACGTAGGTATCTTCAACGTAAGCTGGAGCAACCATCTAGTGTTTGTAGGCTATTTTTTTTAAAATTTTTCTTAACTTTAGTTTGATTGGATTTATTTTTGAATTACCTGTAAATCAAGTGATAATTCAAGAATTAAAAAAATTCGTAGGTGGATTGAAACTTACTCTTATTAATTAAAAGTGATGAATAATTAAGCAACGATTGAAACGAAGAGAGAAGTAGCAAGAAACGTTTCAACTATAGTTAATTAGTATTGAAAATTCACCGGTGGAAGGGGGAGGTCAACAACCAAGTGAAAAATTTATGTCAACAAAATAAAATGGGAATGATGGAACTTAAATTAAAAATTAATTTATAAGATTTAAGTACGACTGTAGTGCTATTATAATAAGCAAGGAAATATTATTTATTGGTGTTATCCAGGTTCAATTAATTTACTTTGGAGCAAAATACGTCGTGATTCTTTCTTAGGCATATAACTTTTCAAATAAATTTAATCGAAAGTTATGCACAATATGTTAATCTTTGTCGGATTACAATTTAATCAATCCAACTATATTTCAATTAAATGTACTGTGGAAATAAGATCAATTGGAAACTTTGGATCAGTTTTTTCAAACTTACTTGGGACGATAAGCGGTTTTTTTTTTGAGTATATTTTATTTAAATTATGAATGAAAATATCTTTAATAGTAAGCTCGGCAGGAGGAAGATGCTATAACTATTCGTTATCACAACAAGTTGATAATACAATTAGTGGTAACTGTTGCTGTATGACTTTATAGTGGAAAATTTTCAGTCTCATGACGCAAAAATTAAATTAAAATGTAGCATTATTTTTGTGTAACTACATACGTGGGGATTTTTACACTTATAACATTAGACAAAACTATATATATATTTAAATAGAAATAAATTCTAAATTATTAAATCAGCTTATTTAAACACTTGAAACAATTTCACTAGCATTTTTCAACACATCCACCATCTTCAAACATTCCTTTCTCTTTTGAACTGTTAATTCATTTTCTTTAACTAAATCGCCTAAGTCAGGGGAATTATACAACTTCTCCAATAATTCTTTTTGAATTTCTTCCTTCGACCTTTCAATTAACTTTAACATTATTGCCTTTGGTACAACATCGGCAACTGTTCTCTTCACAATATTGAAGTAAGATGAAATCAATAACTTAATGACTTCAGTTTCCATGGTTTCTCTTTCAGTCATACTTCCTGTAGCTCTCAATACTGGTGGAGGTGCTTCCATAGATTGTAATCTTTTCTTATTCTTGGAAGAGAAAAAACCACCAAAGAATCCATTTGCGCCTTCTTCTTTTGGTTGCGGCAGCGCTTGGGCTTGCTGAGAAGGAGGTAACGGCTTGCCTGTTTTAGGATCAACAGCCACTTGAGGTTTTGGATGGAATTTTTCCTCAACTATAGCCATAGCCTGCGAACCCTTCAATAAATCAGGATGAGCGGTGTTAACATAAGTCTCTTCTGACATGATTATGTCGGTCACAAACTTATTGGTTGGGATCAACTCATCTCTTAACAACTGAATAAAGTGTTGAGATAATTGTTCCTTTAATGCTGGATAACGAGAGTATTGTGGTTGGGAAATAATTTGTGATAAAATACGCACCAATTCATCGAAAATTAAATTGATACAACGAATTGATGGGTCTTCCATTCTGTGAATTTGTTGTTTGACAAGAACTTCGAAAGCTTGGGTACCAACAAATAAGGATGGCGCAGAACCCGAAGTATTGTGCATGATGGTTCTAATATCAGCATCCTTAATTTGATCAAATGGATCCAATGCAGTAATACCATTCTTAAAAATTTCATGGAAAACAAAGGAGATACGAGCACCACCACTTAATTCTTGTGATGTCAATTCTCTTGCTTCACCATTTAAAATACCATTGTAATCTTTGGTAAAGTTGGTGATCATGTTAAGAGCGATTGATGTTGGGGATTCTGACATTTCTGGCCCTAACAAGCTCAATTCGTTTTGATACTTCTTTAAAGAATGTTCTATTCTCATTTTGATATCTGGCAAGGTACCCTTAATATGGTGCAATAAGATACCATTCAATTTCTTTGCCAAATATGGTGTACCACAGTAATGCGCCTTTGCCTTGTAGGATGGGTGATTTTCAAAGAATGATTTTTCATCTTGTAACGCATCTCTAATAGTTTTCTTCCCTTCTATATCCTTTTGACCTCTATTTATCACAGGAACATAACCAAATCTTAATGGAATAACTCTACCTGCTAAGATATCGATAACATCAGTACCTTGATCCATCAAATCAACTTTAGTTAAAACACCAATAGTTCTTGAACCTTCTGGGTCCACCTCTCTTGCCAATTTTAAACCATCAGAGTTAGCTAAATCAGTATTGGCAGCATTGACAGACAATATAATAGCATTAGGCTTAGATATGAACTTCATAAGCATTTCTCTAATTTGTCTTTCGATATCTTTAGGTTGGTCGCCAACTGGAACCTTCGTTAAACCAGGCAAATCTACTAATGTCAAAGTCAAGACGTGGGGGGAGTAGATTCTCAAATTAATTGGAACCGCAGAGATACCCAAATTTTTACCAGTTTTGGCATCTGTTTCTCTAACAATCTCTTCCCTGATCTCTTCAAAATTATAGAACTTCTTGTTTGGCAAGTGTAAAAATTCACCCCATTCATCCGCGTTGTTTTCAGACGACTCTCCTTTATCTGTAGTCGTATGAATCTCCAATAAATCCTTTGATGGTTTTGGCGAAGATCTTTTATTGATTAACTGTAAAACCAAAGGCCTTCTAGTAACAATACCTGTACCTCTAGGTAAGAAATCTCTTCCAACAATATTTTCTAATACAGACGACTTACCACTAGATTGTGAACCAACAACTGTTATTTGAGGTAAGTCAACTGGAGAAGAAGATCCTCCACCTAATGGAGCTAAGGCATCTTGAAGCTTATTAATGGTAGCAATTAAAGTCTCATCCATTGCAGTATCTAATATTATTTTACTTCTATATTTTGTATATACGTGTTTGCCTTCTTAAGGCTAAGTTGATCTTTCATTATCTCGAGGTGTTCATAAGATTTATGTACACACACGACCATATTTTGTGGTTGCACTATTTTATCCATTGACCTATACTAACAAAACCTATCTATGTAACTATTACTAGCAGTATAGCTGAAACCTTTAAATAAATCATTTCTATTGTAATTTGAATCTTGAGGTATGGTTATACCTTGGTCGCCGCTGAAGTCGCTGATGGCCATACTTGTAAACTCTTCAGAAAAGTTTTCAGCCAAGATGGGATCTGTAATTACAGGAATAATGGGAGGGTTACAGGAATCATCTTGAGCTTTTAATGACTTCCAGTTAAGTTTGCGGAAGAATCTGTGGTTTTCAAATAAGGGCCATTTTTCATCTACAGGAAATCTCTTGACAGGATTTTTGTTCAATAATTTGTTCAAAAGGTCCTTTGCATCCATTGAAAAGTAGAATGGCATCTTCAACTTGTTCTTGATGATCTTGTCTTGAATTAATTTATGTGAATTTCCGGTAAATGGTGGCTTGCCAGTCATCATATCATATATGACGCAACCCAACGACCACCAGTCTACCAGATAGTCATATTGATCTCCTTTTAAAATCTCTGGAGCCATGTATTCAGGTGTACCTATAATCGAGGTACAACTGTCTTGTGAATTTTCTCCGATGCTTTTGGAGAGGCCGAAGTCTGTTAATACTAAGTGGCCAGCACTATTTAATAAGCAGTTTTCTGGTTTTAAATCCCTGTAGACAATACCTAACTCATGCAAGTGCTTCAACCCAAGAGCCATCTGTGCTGCATAGAATGCAACGTCGTCTTCTTTGAACACATTTCCGAGAGAGTTGTTTGATGTTAAATGGTGAAATAGTTCACCTCCTGGAATGTATTCTAAAATGAGATAAAACTTATCCGAGTCTTGTAACGCGTAAAATAACTTCACGATATTCGGATGATGAGTTATATTAGTTAGAATAGTGCGTTCGGAAATTGTTCTTCTGACATGCTTTGTATGTGTGTCGACCTGCTCTTCATGTATATTAATGGTAGGCTTTCTTAATTGCTTCTGGGCAAATAGCTTATTGCTATGCTTATCCTGTACCAAGTGGACTTTTCCATATGCCCCTTTCCCCAACACCTTAATAGGTGTAAAATCGCTCAAGACTTTTTTACTACTTGACACATTTAATTCTGGATTTCCTTCATCTGAAAATTCATAATTTGCCGGAATTGTCAAATCTTGTGATGTTAACGAAGTAGCTGATTTAATGGATAACCTCCTATAAACCGACGACCTTCTTCTTGGTATGCTTCTTGGAAAAGACGATTCAGAATGTACCTTGAGTGTATTACCATCATAAGGCTTCGCATCTAACTCATCTGAGTCAAGTTCATCTTCTATTATGGTATCATTCAAATCCTTAGAGAGTTTCTCCTCGTCAAATGAAAACAAGCTAGACATATCACTCACGTACGTCTTATACCATCGATAATTCTACTCAAGTTCAATACTATTTGTCCGTATATTTGTTAAAAATCATATTTATACATATGCCCCAAACAAAATTTCAGACTCGGTGCGATGTTCCAAGAAAATTATTGCCTATTGAAGAAAACAATTAATCTACCACATATACATTGATATGGAGGTTGTCGAATTTACGTAATACTTCTTCTGTATTCTCCCAAGGGACAGCGAAAAGGCCAGCATTGATTTTTGGCATATTGACAACTAGTTCACCTTTTTCAGTAGATTCAATTTCTTTTTCCTTCTTAAGTAGTTCTAATTGAGTGCTCAAATCCTTCATTGATAAATCAGTATTGGCAGCTATATCACTGGGGGTTAACTTCTTCTTACCATAATAATCACTGGTAAAAAGACATGCTACATACACTGTTTTTTGTCCATTCTCATTTCCAGGATCACTAGAACTCGAAGGAATCAATAGGGTTGTTCCTAATAGCTTGGATGGGTCATCTGAATATTGGTTACAGTAATTTGCATATATTTTGAAGGCAGATGGGAATTTTCGATAAAAGACAGTAGCAATCCCTCCACCCCATGAACCACGACAATTACAAGCATGAGCAAAAATTGAAATTCCAGAACGACTAGAAGGAGTATGTGTGAATAGATCACCTTTGATGTATTTAATCATAGCGAAATCTAGATTACATTAAATATATATGAAAAAAGTTTGGATTAAATCTAACCCCATAATTATTAATCGCATCACATTTAGTTTGCGAATTTAAAGAGAGTCAACTATTTGAATAAATTATTAAATTATTAAATTATTACTTATTACTATAATTTGTGTATTTCGTAGTATGAAATAGTATTTACAAGATTTATAATGATATTGATATTCTTTCGCCGGTAGACAAATGCTGAACATTATTATATATGAATCCATTTTCTGATCCACAGCCAAATACGTTTTCCATGATGATCGAATCGTCCATGTTATCTAGTAAATATGAACGCTCTTCGTAAGAGCATTCAAAAGTAAGCTTATTTGATAATGATTCATTATTCATTTCAGCTGCAGTAGTAAATCTATCTTCTGGTGTTAACATGAAAAACTCAATTCTATCTCCCGAGTCTACTTTGGCTTCAGGGGATATAGCTAAAATATTGGCCTTAGTTCCCCACTCACCACCTCCTGCAATTACTTTAAAGCGTTGACCAACGTCCAGATCCTTCTTATATAATTTAACGAATACTTGGGTATCCTTAGAGCCAATACTCATCAAGCGATCATTTTGTTCCAAGAAGCCAGCAGCAGACTTCTTATTAATTAATTTAACCAAGTTACCTGTGCAGCTAGTTATTATTAAAGGTTCAGAATTTGAATCATATAATGGTGTCCATTTATCTTCTGATTCAATTTTGGGGGATTTCTTAAACAAATTAGATGGCAATGTCACATCTAAGTCACATAATGTTTGTCCTGAATTAGACTGTCCATTCAAATGGCTTGGTTGAAAATAAAATAGTGTCACTAAATTGCTATTCGAAAAAATTGTATTTGCAAGCTTTAAATCAACTTTGGAATCTGGGTGAATGTTGATTGAAAAATTGGAATCAATAGTTTTCCAGTTTTTACTGGCTTGAACTACATGTATCCCATCTCTTTCCCTTATCTGTGAGTTTTCGTCGTCTCTATCTTCTAATTTTACCGAATTATTGATTTTAATATATTCATCTAACCACATTTCGGAAACTCCATGACGCTGAGAATTGGGAACAACACAATCTATTCCAGCAGCTATAACTTGTATTCCATTACTCTGATATAAATGAATTGATTCTTCTATCAGTTGTGTAAGCAAAGATGGCGTAGATAACAAGAGTAATGATTTCGCTTCAAAATTGGTTGGTGGTGAAAGACGAAAATTGACTGGATTTATGGAGGTTTTAGTATAAATCTCTGATAATGGACGATAGAGGGAAAATTTCCTTATCGAAAACTTGAAATTTGAACAAATATATCCCATGATACATTTACACCTATAAATTGTAGAATCCGATAATTAGTATATGTCGTAAAATCTTCAATGCGCTTTGAAAAATTCCGTAGATTATAAAATCCTATATACTTATTTTTCTATTTCATCAATTGTTCTCTTCTTTGGAAGTTCGGTACTTTTCTCAGCTTTTGTTTCTGTAGTAGGCAATATTTCGGACTTTTCAGAAGAATCAACGTCTTCCTTGCTAACATCACCAAACTTTTCTATTACCTCCTTTTCACGATTAAGTAACGGAGCGATTTTATCAGAAAATTCGTCTAATTCTTTCTGAACGTCTATGTCATGATCACTATCTAAGACCCTCTTTAAAACTGGCCCCCAAATTCTTTCGTCCCTATTTTCAAAATCAGAGATTTTAAAGACATTTTTACCTAACTGCCATTCAGATTGTCTTACTCGTATCAATTCCACCATATATGCTGACGATTCTAATGCCCTACCGTAGTCACTTACTAAACTTCTGATGTATGTACCAGAAGAGACATCTGCAGTTAAATGAATTAGTGGTAATTTTTCAGGGAGAAAGCCATCAGACACAGGCTTAGGTTTACCAACTTCCTTCGGTAATCCTTCAGCTTCCGCCTTTGATAAGTATTGATCAGAAAAATATAAAGGAGAGTCATTCAAAGTTGGATTATTTGACAATTCGTGCTCTTTTGGATTTCCTTGTTCATCCAATTCACTTTGCAAAGTCGAAAAGCCGTGGTCGATTCGTAATGAGTCTTCATCATGCACTTTTATATCGAAAACCTTAACTTGTCTTACTTTTATGGGCATTGGTAACGGGATACCTTCTCTTGCATAATCATATAATGGCTTACCATTCATTTTCAATGCTGAAAATATAGGTGGAGTTTGCTTAAGATCACCAATAAATTTTGGCGCAGTTTCCTTTATCATTTCTTTAGTTATATGACTTACTTGATTTTTAGTAATAATTTCACCTTCTGCATCCCCAGTAGTGGTCGAAATTCCTAACAATGCTTTCGTCTCGTAAGTTTTATTACACTCACTAAGATAATATTGCAATTTCTTAGTTCCTAATCCAACCCCAACGACCAAAACACCACTTGCCATTGGATCTAATGTACCACCATGTCCAATTTTTACTTTTAAAGACTTTACTCTTTTGTTAATTCTTTCTTTGGACCATTTCTTATCGGTTCCTAAAGCTTGGGCTGCTTTATTTCTGGCTTCGATCAAATCGTTTTGAAAAATTTCTGATTTCGTGAAAATAGCCTGAATATCACCTATAAATTTTGATGATGTTATACCAGAAGGTTTTTCAATTGCAAATACACCATTCATACTTCTAGGTTTATACTTGAACATGTATTTATTGTATAGCTTCAAAGGAGAGTAAGTATATCTTTTATTTCATGGCCGTAATTAGTGCGCATATTAGAGATGAGGTAGTACATAAGATGCACATATTTATGTATTAGATTCTACTTTGAAATTATTATTTGATGCTTGCAAACTACAATTAGATTTATTAAGGTATTGAATAGAAATGGTTAATATTTATCTTTATTCGAGTTCATTGTGGTTTTAAAATTTGAATGTCAAGCTAAATTGTTAGTATATTGGTTTAGATTCGGGTTTAATAATTGATACATACTGATAGATACCCACTCTTTCTAGGTGAAAGAATCTTTAGTCCTGGTCTATTGGCGAAAGCGTTTGTATTGACTTCATTTTCAATATACTTTTCAAGCTCCTGTAACTTACGCTTGGAATAAGTATCCACAAGAAAATTATTGATTATTTTAGTGTAGAAGTTGGCACTAATAAGATCAAGTATGCTATCAAATAAATTCCATATATTGTAAGGATCGAAGGCTTCTTGTAGATATTGATTTATGTTGTGTATAATAGTATGAAACTCCTCTTCAGTCATATAGCCCGGTACTAAAGGTGTAACAGACGTTTCACCAAATGAGTTATTGTCATATATACCAGCGGGTTTGAAAGTTAATCCATGTTGATCATTAATGGCTGCTGGTTCTGTTCCAGGGATATATTCTGAAAACTGGGGGATTATATCAGATAATTTCGTTGTGCTGAAAATTCGTGGGATTCTAACTATTCTTGTATCACTATACGTAGCGGAATCGACTGGGACATGATTGTTAGGAAAATGATTCACAACAACGGACTTTGCCTTCGAAATATTGCGACACGAAGGATGAACTTGATAATCCTCTACTAAGAACTCATGATAATTAAAGAATAGCAATGGCTCTGTTCTGTCATTGTTTTCATTTTCACCATTATTTGTTACGTTATTCTCTTCAACCACATGTTTTGTACTGGTTTCTAGCATGAAATTCGGGACTTAAGGTAAACTTTATTTCTGTGAATAAGATAAAATATGAATTATTAGAATTAACGAGTATGTGATAACAAATGCATTAAAAAAAATGATTTCGCCCAGGATCGAACTGGGGACGTTCTGCGTGTTAAGCAGATGCCATAACCAACTAGACCACGAAACCATTTGTGAAATATAATTATTCCGCAAATTTTAACATAATAGATATGATAATTATGTCTCATACACGACTCACTAGTAGAATCGTTGCAGTTGATGCCTATAAAAAGTTTTTCTTAGTTCAAGTTCTTTTCCTAGAGTTTGTATTTAAATAATATTAAAACATAATTCAAAGATTCGTTTCTTCAAATACTGGTCATAATGTATTAAGAAGTAAGTATTATTAAGGAGATTGCTACTTATAGTGGCTAGAGATCAAATAATTACACACAATTCTTTATGATGATAACGAGTCCGAAGGACTCCATCTTAAACCCAGCTCAATTGATTAATCTGTTTCATGATAAGACTTTTTTAGATAACTGATTTAAAGAATGATGTAATTATTTGATTTTAGAAATTTAGCTCGTGAGAGATAATTGCCTTTTTATGCAGCCAACTAACAGCATTTAGTGATCCTTTGATATCAACGACAATAGGCCAGTGGAGATATATTAGCATATATACATTTAATACAAGAAGTTGTAACCAAATCAAATCGTTAAGCTGTAGATTAGTTTAGTGCCCAGTAGAAAATTTTTTCGCATACACAACCGCTTGAAAAATTCGAGGTCGGCCATTGAAATATTGTACTCTTTCAAATTACACTTTCACCTTGTGGAAACAATAGGTTAGAGATATGATTCCCTTAAGACAATTAGTGTATAAGAGCTTGCCTAGGACTAGTATTCTCAGGACTAGAGCTCAGGTTTTGGTAGGTAGTCGTTTCCAATCAACTGTTCAAACTCCAAATAATGAAGTGAAAGTTGTGAATGAAAAACAGCCTTTCCAAGGAAAAAGAAAGGCATCCAAGTTCAAACCTGTAAATAACAAATTAAGGGACATTAGTAGCCAAATTCGTGCATCTGTGAACTCATCCAGCAATGACTTAACAGAATCTATTGAAATTTTAGAGGAAGGATTGAGCTATTTGCGTGAAATTCAACAAGTGGAAGGTCTTAGTGATGAGACTATTTTCTCAATTTTCCAACCAATTTTAGCTTCTATTATAGATAAATCTTTGGATCCATCGTATAATAATACCGGTAGCAGATCAGTCAATGAAATTTTGGATATTTTCATTTCATATAATGTTGCCCATGCATATCATTTCAGTAGGGCCATGATTCATGAATTGAAAAGTGGCGAAGAAAGAAAAGTTATGTATGAGAATGTTTTACAATATTGGGTTAAGTTCATTGAATATTCAAAGACTTCTAATAATCCATATGTATTTAAGATGTACAGGGTTTTAAGAGAAAATAGCTTCCATCAGCATGACATCAAGAACCTTGCTTACTATGCATATGTTCAATCATGTTTATTGCAAGACCTTAAATATGATTTCAAAGATGCATTGAAATTATTACAAACTGAGGAATTACCAGAAATTTTTCAAATTAAGAGAACTATTATGTCATTAGGTTTAAATAAGTCATTAAGTAAAGACTTCCAATTATTCGAAAAGAAATTAGAAGCATTCAACCTTGAATCGTTGGATCCTAATGGATCTATTATTATTAATAAGATCAACAATGCTATTATTCATTCCGATACTAACTTACTCAATAAAGTATATGAACAAATGCAAGATGCCTCAATCAAAAACAATAAACCAATAAATGAAAATACTTTAATTAGATTAATGAATGGCTATTATGAATGTCAATCGCATTCCAAAGTCTTCCAGGTTTTCCAACAAATGATTCAGAACGGTATTGAAAAGCCAAGTATAGCTTCTTGGGACTTTGTCATAAGATCAATGGGCCATCCTAGCTATATTCGTGGTTTGACGAAAGAACAGAGAGACACAACTGTTACTAATATCGAGAGAACAGTCCAAACTATTGTTGGCAATGGTACAGAATTAACCCCTAAGACCTTGTCAATTATTGTAGGTTGTTTTGCAAACTTGAACAGATTTGACAAAGTCGACGAATATTTGAATAAATATAGTACTGAAGGTGAAGGTTCTTTGAAAGTCATTCATACTGCCAATAACAATATTTTGATTGGGCTCTTATTAAATAAGAAAATTGCTGAAGCTGAGCAAAAATTGAAAGAATTAATGGCCAATGGATCTAACTACGTTCCTTCAACAACCACAATGAATTCCTTCATTAACCATTACGCTAAGACTAAGAATTATAAAGCTGTTGATGGTATTTTGAAATTTATGAAACAATATAATATACCTGATGAGGTTGGTACCTATACCATTATAATTGACTTATATTTCAAATTACATCGTGAGAAAGGTTTTGCTCCAGATATTCAAGAATTATTATCCAGCTTTAAAAATGCAGGTGTTAATGGTCTTCAAATCAATGAGTATACTCTTGCTACTCTTATCGATGGGTTAGTCAAAGATGGTACTAATTTAGCAGCCGCAAGGGTATTGTACGATCATATTTCCAAGAAGAACAAGCTCTCACCGCAAACCATGACGTCAATGATGAAAGGTGAATTAGATTATGGGTTAATTGGTAATGCGGAGACAATTTTTGACAAATACATTAAAACAGTGAGAAATGACGCTAGAATTTGGAATTTAATGATCAAATCTTTATTAGCCAAGCATGACAATTTAGCTTTAGATTACTATTTGAGATTCAAGGAACAATCTAAGTTGAACTTGAAGGTCCAACCCAATTATTATACCTTTTATTTCTTACTTTCTCATTTCTTGAAGAAGGGTAAGACAGAACAGGTTCAGTTTTTGATAAATGAAATGTCAAATATGACTAGTAGCGAATTAGGGTATGAATTACCAAAGATTCTTCGCTCATTGACAGATAAGTATAAGATTCCATCAAATTTATTACACGAAATTAATAAGTCTAATTAATGCTAATTAGATACAACTTGTATATAGTTAAAGTTTATTTACAATTATTTATATTCTGAATTCGTACAAATACAAAGTCAATTGCATCCACGAATAATATAATGTGCTAGAAAGCCGTGATGTACTTATTACAAATCATCAAATTCACCCATTGCCCTTTTCCAGAGAGGTTGAGACCAATGAACGAATCTATCATATGCGTTAGTTGGGTTATCCAATGCGGGTCTTGTATCCAAGATAAATGCTGGCATTCCTGTTTCTTCGTCATCTGGAGCACCATAGTAGTCAATTACGTATCTGACTTGTTCCCAACCTTGACTTCGTCCCAAGGACCTCAACACAGTCCAGTCATGCCTGTCGAATGGAGGTTGGGTATTAAATGTATCTGGGAAAATCTTTCCCAACCAAAGATACATAGATGCTCTAGGGGATAAATCATGCGGTCTACCAGTGAATCTTAACAATCTTGGCTCTATTTTCGTTCTCTCAGTATATTTTTGTTCCCACTCTAAGATTTGCTGCCAAGCACCCTCATTCAAGAAGTTGTGAACACCCACCATGGACTCCACGGCATCTTCAGGAATACCCTGGCCTTTTCCTTTCTTCAACATCGCATTCAACATTTGTTGCGGCGATGGGTATTCCCAGAGTCCTTGGTCTTCCAGCTCACCTCGAGGAATGGAAGAAATGGTTCTTTCTGTCGATAATGATATCTTCTGACCTGGTGCACGTTCTGACGAAATGGCCATCGGCATATTATTAAGAGGGTTCAACACTTCATCGTTATCCTTGATAGGACATTCGCTTACTAAAGAAGAGTGTTTTATTGGACAAGCACTCTCCGAAGCTGAAGGCTCTTGTTTAAATGATTTATGATCAATAGGACATTTACTAACCTGATTTTGTACGTTTCTATCAGCCCAAAACCAACCCATAGTTAATATTCTTGTGATGTAAGGCTATACTTTTGTGTATATATGTAGTCATCTAAAAGAATTTAACTATCCGATTAAGAAAAAAAAACTACATCATAAATCACGTGAAAAATGCAAAAAAATTATTCTAGAAATTTTTTGTAACCACACCACCCATTTTCCTTTGCTTGGGATACCGTTGTCGTCCTGTGAAATAAGGATTTAATCCCAAATGCCGTTGATGTCAGTGCATCGTCAACTGCCTTGACAACAATTAGGCTGTCATATTCATACTTTAGTATATGCTAAGATATTGGTAGACCTATTGTGCAATTGTTATGCATTGTCATAATAATAATTGAAACACGATGGCCTGAACTAGCTTCTCTTCGAATAAGCCTAACGCACATATCTTCAAAATATCCCCGCTCTTATTTAAGTATGGCTCTGTAGTTCATGTTACATTGTGCCGTTCTCTCTCGATATGTAAAGCCGCTACCACCGCCAGATGAGGACTGCCAATTTAACGAAGCAACGAGCCCTATTGTCCTCTATCGAGGGAACAATCCAGGATATATTTGGTTCAAGAAAATCCTGAAGTTAGGGGTTTTAGTGGGGGCAGACATTCTTGCGCGACATTTCCAAATCTTGACCTTTATCTAGTTAATTTAATTTATCCGAGAACGGAAATTCGAAATTGGAGTGTGGACAGATTAGATATATTAGAAGAGAATTAGCGGGTTCTGTAATATAGATGATTACATTTCTTGAACAATAAAACGACCCATATACTTAGGAAACTACATACACACAGTAAGTTTGGGACTGGAATTGGAGTGCTACTATCAAACTCTCATATTCTAAGCAATGCCATAAACTTAGTAACCGCGGTATCTTACAGTAAGGCAGTGTATAGAAAAGTTTTCCAATCCTCAAAAGAGCCTTTCCATTTTTTCAGCCCTAAAGTTATTATTAGTATTACGATCCCTTTTACTGAGTTTTTTAACAGACTTGAACAATAGAATAAAGTAAGACATCCAGATGCGTTATGGAGTGGATACGGAAATATAAGTTAAGATATTTAATTCAGGTAATGAAATATTGTAAAAGTCTAACAATAAGTTGGTTTCTGTTCAGACGGCGTTATGGGGAATAATAGAGTTTATTTTACTACTTGATGGTAGACTATTTGGGCTTATTTCTGTTTCTGGTAAGATCTAGGGTAGCTCATTGTTACATCTCTATTATGATCGTTTTAACGATTGCTTGCTACAGATACGTTTCGAAATCCACTAGACGGACCGGGGCTGATTGATACCGGATAGATCCGTAAAGATAACAGTTGTCTGACAGCAGAGAATACGAGAATTGTACATAAACAATAACACCACACGCATATCTTACGTAATCCGCACATAAAATGTCTATAATTATACCCTATACAGATTACATGTCTCTCAAAGAATTGTAGTGCTCGCCCAATCCAAATGAATGTTTGTAAAAAGCTAATTTTAACTCTGGATTCGATCCTTCTGGGTTTATAGTAATGGGTGAACCACCAGCCATCAAAACTGTGATGGGACAATCGTATTCGTTAGCTAATGCCATTATCTCCATATCTGAACCCCACATGGCCGTAGTAGTAAGTTCATTCGTGTATTCCGTTAGATCTCTTAAAGAATTCGTGGCTTCGTCAAATAAGAATGGGATAAAATCGTCGGGGTGGGATTTCATGTAAAGAGCAGCTGTATCACGCAATTCTTGAATTGACACGTCTTTGGGGTGTCTGATACTCAACTGATCTTGGATTGAAGCGAATAAGCAATGCCCATCGGGCTTAATTTCGTAAACTACCAAATTACCCCGTTCGATTATATGTTGCATCGACTCCTGTTCGATTTTTCGGTAGTCGACATCGTTCTCCGACTCCTTTCTTGCTTCGTCCTTCATTTGCTCAATTTTAGCATTTCGTTTGGCTAACCGTTCTTTCTGTCTATTTCTTTTAGGTTGACGTGCGTCTGTATTGATGGCCTCAGCGGACAGTTTCTTCTCCTCAGCATTGTTAGTGTCGTTTATTGTGGTTTTTTCCATTTGTGCGAGCAAGTCTTCGGGTCTTAATTCATCTTCCACGTCATCAGTTGTGTTTCCATCAAGCTCACTCAACTCTTTCTTGTGCTTTTGATTAAGACTCTCCTGGAGCTCATTGCATTTGCTTATCACTCCCTTTCTCGTTTTCTTGGTTGCCTGTTTTTTCATTCCCGTGATGGTGGCCATCAAGTTCTTTTGTTCCACCTTGTGCCTTTGTACCATCTCATCCCGGGATTCTGTAGCTGTAGCTTCAATTTCACTCATTGCACGCTTTTGATGACTTTTAATGTCCTTGTTAATAAACTCTGTCTAATCTGTCCTGTGTCGCCCTGGCACTATTAATCCTATATGCGAGAAATGTCCGGTTCTATAGGTAATGCTTGTAGTATTCTATCTAGTTACTGAAAAATAAAAAAAATCCGCTTCGATGCTTATGTAATCGGGAGCCTTTTTCGTCTGAAATGGCCATGAAAAAAGAAATTGATTGTCCTGAAAAACTCTGTGCCAGAGTAACACCGATCCCATGCCACAGGCGAGCGACCTTCCGTACGATTCACACGACACAGGTTTCGACGTGCATATGAACTTTCTTCCTCCTCCTTCATAAACCCATAAGGAGGTGAAATGTCTCTTCGCATTCATATCTCCCGGACATAGTTGGTGGTGTTACTGCCATCGCACCGATACATGCATGGCCACCTTGTCATAAATTTATTTCTTAGTGAGCTAACCGAGATAAACTACGACATTATTTGGCCTAGTAAGTATTTCTTAATAGTATTTCTTATTATAGTCTAGTTTCTACAATACTACCGTGGTTGCGTGGTGTTGTACAAATTATACGATGCCTCAGGTTATTTTGTCAGAATGTCGATTGCTCTACAGGGGCTTGCATGTAGTGTTCGCCTCTATATTGAATTATGCTAATAGTCGATAATACTTTATCCTAAGGACATTGTGATGAATTCAGCATAATGTGAGGAGTGTATAAAACAGCAAGGTGAAAATAGGAGCGATCAAACTATCCTGGTTGCAGAGGTATACCAAGTTCGACATCTTGGATATATATATAAGGACGTATATCATTAAACTTTAATTAATTTGAGTGATTGTAACGACATCTTTAGTTCTATATACGTCTCTATGATTAATTCAGTTTAATTGTACTACATCCATTCGTTTCATCAAAGTTTTTCATACATCTTACACCTAAAAAACACATAATCTCTGCCTGTTACATACAGCTACTATGGAACAACGATTAAATATAGACGAATATCAGGCTGACATTCTATATCACTTGAGTTCGATACAAAGTACCACCGCACCTAGTTTGTCGTTGATACAACAACAACCAGAAATCAATTTAAAAATGAGACCCTTGTTGCTAGACTTTTTGATGGATGTGATCAGTAAGTTGAATTTGTCGTTGTCGACATTTCCACTCACGGTGAACTTAATTGACAGATACTGCTCCACCAGGATTGTGAAGAAGCAGCATTATCAATTGTTGGGGTTAACAAGTCTTTGGATCAGTTGCAAGAACTTGGACGCCAAATTCAAGATACCGTCGTTGTTTGACTTATGCAAGATGTGCTGTAACTGCTACGACAAAAAGCTTTTCTTGGAAATGGAGAACCATGTGTTGAAGTCGTTGAACTGGCTGATCAACTACCCTACATTTGATCAGTTTATTGAAATCTTCATCAACATGTTGGACTCAAGCAAATTTGTCGAGTCGTCACCAGCCAATAAGAACAACGTCAAGACTATGGCTTTGTACATCTGTGAGTTGATTCAATTTTACCCTAATATCTACTTCAACAATAACTCATCACAAATAGCATTGGGAGGACTATTGACTAGTTTGCTTATTTGTAACGTTCCTATCAAGTTGGAGAGTGTTTTGAAACACCTCAATTCGTATTTGGAACAAGATTCACTCCTCGACCTCGCATCTTTCAACTCATTCTACAAGAATTTATTGAAGATATTAAAGTGTCCACCTCCTTCCTTGAAGTTAAAATACTTCAGCGAAAATGGGTCGACGCTCAAATTGATGAAGATTATGATACGCCACGTTAACAACCAGAATGCTAATATTACTCCACTCACCCCGAAGTTTCAAATCCACGAGCAATCGTCCCAAAATGTTTCTTACGGTAACTTCCCAAGGACGCCTGTTTCAAATAACATATCCCCCAGGATTGAACTTCCTTCGCACTCGTCTACTCAAGCTACCAACTCGCATTCATACAACCTTTCTATTTCCTCAACCACAAGCGAGTTGCTACCATCCCCCAAAGCATCACCTGAACACTCGTCTTTCGACTCTTTTCCAATCAAGTCTCCGGTGGATATTCATCCTCCATTGCATATGCCTACTACAACTACATATAACTTTTTCCATACTAGGAAAAGATCGATCGATGACATTACTGTGGAATCTCCAAATAAAAAACTTAGAGCCAGAAAGCCAGCTTTCTACATCTCTTAAACTGCATTATCATCTCATCATATATATTATTAGATTTTCATTTTCATTTTCTTCAATCAATATATCATTTTCATATTCAAAAGTATTTATTTCACATCCATAATTGTGCGGCAAACAATTATCTGTATGATAAATCCGTTAAGCTGCCCGGACACTAACAGGTTTTTGGTTCTTTGTTATCTATGTAAATTCTTCATATCCGGATATGGTATCTGTGCAGATTATATAATATAAGTTTCCATGTGAACAAAAAATATGTAAATATTTAATGCTATGCCAGTTTTCTCCATCCCTTGTTCTCTAGAAATGCACCCTGGTGATGCTCACTATTATTAGAATAAATCATGTAACATGAATTTCAGAATATTAGTCTGGACCATTTACTATTCTACGAACTGGACGAAAGGCCACGAATATTGGCGAAAGGAGGTGAAATTAAACTTTCGCATAACGCAACCTATAATGTGCGACATAGATATATAATAGATCACAAATTTACTCCAAACGGGTATAAAATCAGATTGGCCAACATCCTTGCGGAACGTTCCGAAATTTTTCTTATTCCTAATTATCTGTAATAGGAATACTGTGTTCTAGGGAATTTTCGTGCGAGAATATAATTTTCTGATGAAAACCATCGCTAAACAGTAATTATGCCTGGGCAAATGCATAATATTAATAACTAGTATAATAGCAAAAAGTTAAAAAAAACACAATAAAAAGCAGGTTTAGGCTATGGGAAATAAAAAGACTAAATACAACCACAGTGCAACATATGCTTGCCATGAGTATACGAAATATAGGATAAGCGGTGGTGATGAGCGTATAGAACAAATTGAGGTGGAAAGTTTAAATAAGGAAGAGTTTTATCAAAGGTACGTCAAGCCTAGGAAACCGGTTAAATTCTCCGATTGCATAAAAGAAATTGATATCAATGATTTTCGTATCGACAGATTGGCGGGGTTATTAGGGTATGATGGCAAGTTGAAGGTAGAAAAGAGATATAAAGGGGGCTTTGGAAGCAACCTTGAACGGGTTAGGATGGGTTTGGATGAGTTGGTTGAAAAATTTGACAAAGGTGAAGCCGATTATTATTTGACGACTCAATACGAGGACGATGATGACGATTCAGACGGAAGTTGCGATTTAGATAAGGAATCTGGGGAGGATAATAAGGAGGAAAAAAAGGAGGTCGGAGATAGTGAAGAAGACGACGGAGAAAACGAGTTTGAAGAAGAACATGCAGAACCACTCTTTCAACAGGATGATGGCTCAGAATCCGATTCGTCATTTGGATCCATAGATATGAGCAACTTGCAAGATGATTTTGAGGAGGAGAATTCAGACAACGAAATGGATGAAGAAGAAATACGGGATCGTATTCGTCAACTATTTCAGCCACCTTTGACAAATATGTACAACAAGTTACCTCATACCCCATCCTTATTGTCCATGTTAATACCACAACAGATAAATATCTGGATGGGATACTCTAAACCAAGCCAGAAGCCTCAGAATCTCGGTGATCTCTCTAGCAAATATATTCCTGGAAACGGGAGCTCATCCGGATTGCACCATGATCATGCAGATAATCTCTACATTTTGGTTTCTGGATCCAAAAGATTCACATTATTTTCTCCGTATGATGCAGATAAGCTATCTACGGTGGGCACTATCTACAGGGTTTACAATTCGGGGGTCATAGACTATTATAGGGATGAAAATGCTCCGTCGTGGAGTCATATCAGGGAGGATGGTGCCATGGTGCGAGAAGTCGCTAGATGGCAATTAGCCCATAAAGACGTAGACCCAGACACGAAGGAGGAATTATTAACTATAATCAATAAGCAGGAATCAAAATTTGATCATCAGCCAACGAATCCCCCTAGCTTCTCTCACATTCCTCCTGTATTGTTGCACCTCGACGAATTGAATGCACATGAGCGCCTGGAGCTTATTGAATTTAGTAACACCCACTTTCCAGGATTTTTGGACACACCTCGATTGACCGTATGGTTGAAACCGGGTGAAATGTTATACTTGCCTACTGGATGGTTCCACGAAGTGTCCAGTTTTGGTAGTGACACTGTAGCCGAAAATAAAGACAACGTTCATATTGCATTAAACTACTGGTTCATACCCCCATCTGGTGATTCTTTGTCTAGTGTCTATCAGGACACATACTGGCATGACGATTTTGAAAAGTCTAAACAAGCCATAGATTTGGCTACCAGGGGTTCTGTAAAAATAGATTAACTTTCCTAAATAATACAATAACCATTCTTCATACGTATCATTAATTGTCCGCATCCAATTTCCGATACTGTAGCGGTGCCAAAATTTAGTCATAGGCTGAATTTTTACTCGATTTAGCCCAATTTGGCAAAATTAGCTGCTAATAAACTCTAAATTTAACCGTCTTTGATTTTGTGTCGTTTCGTCAAAATTAAACCGTCAACTCTCGCGTAATATTTGGTTACGTGTCATTTACCCCAAGATTCCTGCTATCAACCTTTAGCTCAAAATATGGGGATGCGGGTATCTGCCCTCAAAGTATCATATGATACTACTGTGACTTACTTTTCTCGCGAGATGCGATTCACGTTTTGTTGCATCGAAAATTGATACGATTCGGTAAACACACGAAATGTATTGATGATCTGCATAGGCAAGCAGATAATAGGACCTGGGGAATATGGAGATAGCCAAACATGAATCCAATGTGTAAACATGTACCTTGAACCTCCCTTTCTTGTAGAAAACAATTTGTACTGATTTAGAGTCCTTTGAACTCGATTTATGTACTTATCTATTTTATGTAGCCTATTTCTTATCGGCACCTGGAAAAGTTCTTCTGCGCGCCTAAATGGTTGCAATATTTATCAGATGGCATTCGAAGGCAATGTTGATATAGTGCTAATACAGAGGTTTTGAGCAATACTAGAGTGTAAAGTGATCTATATGGGTGATCAGGAGATATATGTAGAGTAAGAGTATTCTAAAATCGATATGAACGCTGTAGGTGAACATTCATGCAAGAGCGGTTCCGGCCCTACGAGATCTGTGTTCGTGTCAACTTTAAGGGAATACAAGAGATATTTTAAACCACCACTAAGATGGAAGCTCACCAAATATACCAGATATAAATTGGAAATAGTATATCTATCAAGTAGACCGTTAATATACCAAGAAAGCTTAAATGTAAACTAAATAATCAGAAAAGAACCGTTATCGTGACTGCTGTTTGGAAAGTAAATTTTCATTCTGCGACATCTGAAAATTACATCTGAAAATTTAAGCAATCCCTGTTTAATACAAAGCAATATACTTCTTTTAAATTAGGTTAAGAAAAAGATACATAGATCTATCGAAAGAAAATGTATGATAACTATTTGTATATTATGAGGTAAAGGTATACTTTTAAGTGGCAGGATTTTTTTTTTTGACTTTGATAATAAGGGGATGAAAAAAAAAGTGAAAATAGAAATCTTGCATTTATCTAGTATATTAATGCCATCTACAAGAAAGAAACTTAGTTGAAAATTCTTGTCATAAGGAAGCTTGATATTAATGTTTATTATAGACCTTTTTTTTTTCTTTTTCTTTTTCTTTCGTTTTTAACATTTTTTTTACCAGGTTTTTGTTTTGATACAGAACAGAAATCGAGATTATCAGTGTTATAATAGGGACTAGTTTATAATATTTAACTATTTTTATAACTTATTGCCCTTCCATCAAGAGATTTTTTTCATAACGGTAAAACTAAGAATTTGGTTTTAGCAAGATTACATTATAATTAAAAATTTATAAATATTCCATCCTTCAAATTATATGAACCGTTGTTTCCAATAACTTTACTTGTTTAAATCAATAATAATTTGCAAGTATTTATAAATTTACAAGTGATACAAAACTTACAGAAGAGATATGGCTTTGGCAGATAGAAGACCTCTTGGATTTCCAGTTACTTCAACTCCCGCATCCCCAGCTTTCAACCCAAAGACGTTGAGCTTGAACTCATCAGCATCGACGACTTCATCCGATAATGATATGACTCAAGGTTTCAAATCGTCTATGGATGATATGAAGGGGAAGCTTTCTGAGAGTGATATTAAGCCATTGACCCCAGAGAAGAGCTTAAGCCCCGTTGAGTTATCTCCTACTCTGAGAAGCATTTCACCTGATTCTTTGATGAATTCAGATTCCTATAGGAAATTGAACGCAACGACAATTGCGCCTTCTTCAACTACCTCCATTACCTCGAATAGCTCAAGAGGGTCGTCTCCGTCGATCAATCCTACTAATTCGAATGTTAATGTCTTGAAGAAACCGAAGAATACTAGCAGGGCACCAATTGCAACTGGTATCTCAACCACAATTCCTGTTACAGGAGAAAAGCCAAAACCAAGTCAAAAGGATGATCCTTCCTTAGAAGATGATGTTTTGTATGCAATTTTCGTTATATTATACGAGAAGGATCCTGAAGGAAGTGGAATGACAGTCAAACAAATTTGTGATATCTTGGTTGAGCAACATCCAGATATGGCCAATTTGTCAACTAAGACTTCAAATCTTGTCAGTGCTAAATTGAATGCTTATGTTAAAAGAGTCGAAAAGGGTGACTCAAGTCTTAAATATGCTTTGTCTAGAGATTGGGCTGATGCGTCACCTAAAAGGATGGTGTATGTTTATAGAGGTCTTTTAACTGACGACTTCCATTTGCATGTTAAGAATGTTATGGAAGTACAAAAGCAGCAGCATGATCATAGTGAAAGTCCTTCTGCATCCAAAATTGATGAAAGAAATTCATTAGAGGCTGGCAAACAAGCTAATATTTTGAAGCCAAGAAGACAAACAATGTTTGATTTAGGTGTCACAAAGAATACGTTTTTAGAAAGTGCCTTAGATAAGTCTAACTTGGTTGTCCCATATTCTTCAGCACCGGTAACCGCTTCTTTAACTGAAGCTAATGGTGAATCTAAAAAGATTACGTCCAGTAATCAACAAGAATCAGATTTAGAATTTGAAGAATTTGAGGTTTTCAATGATATTGAAGATGACGATGAAGACAATGGCATCAATTTAGAAATGAATGATATGTACATCGATTCATTTAAGAAAAATGGTAAACGTTCTAAATCTTTATCTTACTTGTCGTCAAACAAAAAGCCAAAAATTTTGACTGCTGCTGCTGCTGCACCTAGGGCTCCAAGAACACCTAGTTCACACAATGCCAATGCTGCAGCAGCTGCTGCCGCATTACATGCTGCTGCTTTTAAAGCAATTTCTGCTCCATCATCTCAATTATCCGAGTCTTCTTTGAAGTCTAATGCAAGCACAACGGCGAACTCAAATGTAAGCTGCCCTTCTAATAAAAAATGGTTGAACGTTGTAAGATCAGGATTTTTAACTCAGGATATCGGTACTCCAGAAGAGATTAGTTTATCAGATTTGGATAAATTTTTCGCTTAATTGTTATTTTTTTTTGTTGGTCAATTATTTTCAGGCGTTTTCTTTACTCTCGTGTTCATTATCTTCTCTACTTCTTATAAATTGTTTAAAAATCTAAAAAAAGATATTAAAAACATTCAGGTGATATATTCAAAATGGGAAAAAATTTCATGGTTTAAGGCTTTCCTTATTTAAAAATATTAAAAACAGGGACAAATCATCGTGATTTGATTTATTTTATTGTATTAATTGTGGGAATTTTTGATTATTACTGGAAGTAATATATCATGTTTAATCCTGTGTGTATATTAAAAAAAAACTATTCTTAACGGCTTATGACTATTTTTCAAGAAATGTGTATGATAGTACTTAGTATTATTATATATTATTTTTGTTTTTGTCATGACATCTCTCTATTTGTATAATATAAACTATTTAAGTTCGCATGTGTAGACTTTTTACAGAATTTATGGCTAGTGTACATCATTTAAATATTAGTATGACAAATTATGTCATATAATATTTTGGACCTCCACCACCTTCAGGAACAGTCCAATTAATGTCTTGGGTTGGAACTTTGATATCGCATGTTTTGCAATGAATACAATTTTGACTGTTTATCTGGAATTTAACTCCTAATGGTTCGTTTTCATCTTCCGTGTACTCATATACCCCTGCAGGACAAAATCTTTGCTCCACACCCTTGAATTTTGGATAAGATATACTTGCATGTTTACGATAATCCTGATTTGGAATTCTTAAGTGGCATTGTTCATCATCGTCATGGTATGTGCCCGTCCTTGAGACAGATGTCAAGAGATCAAATGTTAATTTTCCATCTGGCTTAGGATATTCAATCGGTTCAAAGTTTGAAGCATCCTTTGTAGCTGCAGCATCAGTAGAATGATGACTCAAAGTCCACGGTTCACATCCCCTAGTAAACATGGTCGAGATACCAGAGTGTATTAAGCCTCCTAATAATCCTAATGGCCCATTAAACGAAGGACGAACATTACGGACTTCATGTAATTCCTCATGAATCCATGAGTTTTCGTAAGCTTCTTCGTATGCTTTCAACGTTATTGGTCTAGCGTCATCTAATGTTCCTTCTTCAACTGGATCTAAATTTTCAATTTCCTTGAAAATAGTTTCTGCTGCTAGGATACCCGACTTCATGGCTGTATGCGTACCTTTGATTTTCGGCACATTAACAAAACCAGCTGAACAACCCACTAAGATTCCGCCTGGAAAATATAACTGCGGAACAGACTGAAACCCACCTTCATTAAGGGCTCTAGCCGCATATGAAAGACATTTTCCACCTTCCAAAACATTCGAATAAAATGGGTGTAATTTCATTTTTTGAAATTCTTGATATGGTGATATATAAGGGTTGGCATAATCCAATCCAACTACTAAACCCACAGTAACTAATCCATCACCAAAATGGTACATAAAACCACCTCCATAAACATCCGATGATAGCGGATAACCCATGGTATGTGCTACTGTACCCTTTTCAAAATTTTCAGGATTGACTTCCCAAACTTCCTTAATACCTAAACCATAGGTTTGAGGTTCACTTTGTTCTCTTAGGTTGAATTTGGAAATAACTTCTTTGGTTAATGATCCATGACAACCTTCACCAAGTACAGTCATTCTAGCGTGAAATTCCATACCTCTTTCAAAAGAATCCTTCGGAGCTCCAGTTTTTGAAATTCCCATATCTTTTGTAGCTACACCTTTAATAGCATCACCCTTTTCATTGTAGACAACTTCACTCACAGAAATCCCAGGATATAATTCAACACCCAACTCCTCAGCTTTTTCAGCTAAATATTTCACAACATTATTCAATGAAACAATATAATTTTTGCCATGGTTTATTAATTGTGGTGGTTCAGGTACTGGGTATGCATTCTCCTCCGTTAAGAATTTCATCGAATCACTTTCTACTATAGTAACCAAATCGTCTGGTAAGGGAATTCCTGATCCATCTTCTTTCAAAAATTCACTATCTGGGAATAACTCTTTCAATGCTCTTGGCTCAATAACTGCACCACTAACAATATGTGAGCCAAAGTCACCTGCCTTTTCCAAAACTATGACCCTTAGCTCGCCTGATCCATGTTCGTTGTCAAGTAATTTCAATTTGATGGCCGTGACTAATCCAGCTGGTCCACCTCCGACAATACATACATCGACTGAATCTGTTGCTCTTTCTTCCTTCAAAGTGGCTTGTTCTTCTTCTGATAATTGATCGAAAGGTGTTTCAGCATTATGGTTTAATTGTGGCTCAGCTTCATTTCTTATTCTGGTTGTACTGGCGAATTTACGAATTGTCTGTAGTCTATGCGTAGGTTTTAATGGCACTAGCAAAGACCTATTAGATAATTGTCTTACTATATTCTGCTTCTTTACAAGATGACGTAAAGATAAACAATTTCGAGTCCTCAACATTATAAGCAAGGCTTTACTAAATGTGTCTTGTATTCCCTAATGTGTGTTTTATTCACTAACGATTTCTTTTGAACAAGATAAATTTGCATTAATGAATCATACTCGGTAGACAGTGCGATCAAATTTACGATCATAATTTTGGCGAATCAAATTTCAAAGATTGTTAAGCGACCAATAAAACCTATAATTTTATCTACGTCAAACAATATCTACAGTTATTAAACCATGAATTAATATCAGGAGTAATCATACAATACAGTAATTAATAAATATAAATTATGAAATAACTTTAAATCAGCTACTTAAAGCTTGTAGTCTAATATGTATGCTCCTTGAGTGCAAAATTTCTTAAGTCATGTAAATAATTCACGATGCCCATATTGTTATAATACGCTCATCGCTTTCATTACTTTCGATGAGCTCATCCAAAGTATCAATGGCTAATGTCCAGTCATCATTAGAGTCCATAACCACGAAATCACCATCTTCATCTTTGTACTTCAACTTATTGACTATGATATCTTCATTAACCTCGTCACTAGCAGCAATCTTTGAAGATATTTTCAGATGCAAATCATGAAATTGTATTGCAGTTGAAACTAGCAACACATCCGGAATTTCTATTTTATTATAGACTAATTTTATGGCAATAATCGAAGATCCAGAAGCTGCGGACAGGAATGAATACTCGTTCCTATCTGAAGATACGTTGTTTGCAGAATTAGACAACGAAGATGAAGATGTACGTGCATTCTGGTGATCGGATGAAGATTTCGACCTTGACTGCCTCATCATGCTGAATGTGGATGACGAAGAATGATGACGTTGATAGGTGGATCCATTCGATGATCTGGATGAATAGCCATCATGAGAATTATGACCATAACTACCATCATATCCTGTAGAATCATTAGTTAATAATGATCCATGAGAGTCGCGTAATTTTCTATGAATCTGATTATTCATTTCGTTCGTCTTTAAAGTTCTTAAGCATTTTTCCCATTGGTTCCTCAATTCTTCGGTCCTATATCTTAATGTAAATGATCCACTTTCCTTTTTACCGGACCATGAAATGACTAATGTATATCCTTGAGAATTTGATATGGAAATATTATAAATTTCCAGGATATATACTCTACCCTTTAGTTCTAGCAATGATTTATCCTTGGCATGATTTAACGTATCCAAGAGGTTTGTTGTTGAAGAAGACTGAGACTTCTTTCTTGAAGATAAGATATCCCTTTTCTTTTTGCCCTCTTTATCTTTTGATGCATTCGAACCATCAACGAAAAAGAAAATAATTTTTTCAAATAAGTAAGCGAAGTATTCTTTTTCATTTTCTGAGTCTTTAACACCCACAACGCCATGATGAAGTAGTTCACCTTGATCCTTCAAATTAAATCCTCTCCAGTTATTTACCCTTTCAATTAAACTTTGTAAGTAACCAACATTTTCAGATCTTCTTTGAGCTTCGTTAACTTGGTTGGCAACTTCTTTTATGGCAGAGTTGGCCAATATCAATTCGTTATATGCAGCAGAGTGGGAGTTATTGTTGTCAGATATGGATTCAGGTGAATTTTTGATTAACTCCTTCAATAATAATGGGTATTTACATAACCTTTGAATAGGCTTTATAATATAAGATTGTAATTCAAACCCAGGGTCTAATAATGTAGATGACTTTTTCAAATTTATCAGTTCCCTGTTTATGAGGTCAATGGCCGAAATTTGACCAATTGTCCACGGTTCATAAGCACGGAACGGGCCGCCTGCAGCATGTATAAAAATTGACCCAATTCTCTGGTATTTATGTGGTATATTTACGTTGCATTCCAATCCATTCAAAAATCTTCTTTGAAAATCAACGATTTCATTCAAATTGGGGAAAAGGATATGTATCTGTTCACTCGAAACAAGTTCAGCATTCTTCAAGTCATTTTTATATGCAAGTAACAATTCCAAGTCCTGAACATATTTCCTTTCTGTTTCTATCATCTCTTTTAGCACCTTTGAACGATCATCACTTACAGAAAGTTCTCCTATTGCCAACTGATCTACTTCAAAGTTTACTGGGTTCTTAGTTGTTTTTAATGACACCAATTTATTCACTACTTTTAACACCTTTAAAAAGTCATGCGTGTTATCCAGGAATACATCCGATATGGTGAACATCGAGTCGTCTTCGAAGTTTAAATGCATCTTCACTGCTATCAAAAAGTCATATACAGACTTCTTACACACTCTGAGATCGTCACTGCCAACTATTGGTATCGAATAATCCGACACCACGCAGTTGAATAATGCACACAACGAAGATCCTTGTTGAAACATTTTCCACAAATGTGTTGCAGGATCTACCCCTATATTGGCAGGTAGTACTCCTGCAGTGAATGTGAAGATATTGTGATTGGCATTGGCAGGGCTGCTATTAGTACCCACCGATGTCATCGAAGACGTGTCAGAGTGAATTGAAAACCCGCCAGACCCCATAGACGCCCTGAATTCGTTGTCACCATTAATTCTAACGTCCTCTTGTAACTGTTGTGATAATGCCAAAGCCTGTTGTTCTGCACTCTGCTCAGCTACTTCGAATGCTGACTCTAAAAATGGCTTCATCTCCTCAATCGACTCCAATCGCTGTTTTAAACGCAAACTCTGATAGTATAGACTTTCTTCACTATTTGCTGCCCTGTTAAAACTATTCCCCATCGCCTGTATCGGTCCCAGCGCTACTCTCGTGATACTGCTCGAGGATGAGCTTAATGAAAGATTTGATGTTGTTGATATCGAGCGAAATTGAGGCCTTGGCGCCTGTGTATTTGCATCCATCCTTAATGTCTGTTAAGCAACAATTTATTGATTTCACTAATAGTTATGTATCTATATTGCCCCTTAATGACTTTCAAGGCAAATGTTTACTTGTTTTTTTTCTATAACCGATATTTTGAAGGTATTTTTTTTTGATCGCTTCGCACGATCAGCTTCGTTCAAAGAACAAAGAGTTTTGACCGATTATAGTAAGTAGGGCTAATGACTATGCGAGATATGTAGGAAGCTATTGTAGAGGTGGCAGTATCAACGGTTTCATTCACGAACTACATGTTAGGAATTTTCTCTGAATCATATTCATTAATTGTTCATATCATCTTGTAGTACGTAGAACTTGTATATTATGAAAATGCCAGAAAATAGACTATAGAGAAGAAATTATAGTGCCATGAGAGTCTAACAACGTGTAGGATGCTTTGTAAATGCAATTCCAACAGCTGATATTCAAGAATTACCATCGACATAAATAAATGATCGGCACGTCGATTGTGCTAGGGAAATGCAGAAGTTAGATATACAGATTATTTACCAGGCTTTTTCATTAATGTCATTGTCTTGCCATTATCACTGGTATGTACAAAAGCAGTTTTGGAGGGAAACCAGGTAATATGTGATAAAGCTAAGTTTCCACTGTTGCTATTGGGAACCTCGTACACTTGTTCTGTGGTATCGTAGTCAAAGATCTTTATGTTTTCTCCACTATCATATGCCACGGCTACGTATGTTCCATCGCGACTTATATCAATATTGGCGATGGCTTCGTCAGTATTAGTGAGAACTTTTGAAATGAGCATGGAAGAAGTGTTCCAGAGAGATACAACCCCCTCGTTAGAGCCCACAGCACAATACTTGCCTCTGGGATCGACTGCCACACATGTAGCTGAAGATCTGTGTCCCGTTAGTTTATGCTTGAGATCAATTGTCACGGAGTTGACTACTTCTGTGTCTGGCGAAGCATCGGTAATTGCAGATCCATTGGCACCTGGTAAGACATCCGTTACCTTATATATCGGCACTGATCCGTCATGTAATGCACACATGAAGAAGGAGTGTCCGTGGTGAAACCACAGGATGTCGTAAATATGGTCATTCAACTTGAACTCGTGAAATTTGTTGTAGTTGTTAGACACAGAATACAAGTAAACGGTTGAATCCCTATCAACAACTGTAAGTATTTCGCCGTCATTTGAGTATGCCACAATCTGACACACCACATCAGTACCAGACTCATTTGTATTTCCGCTCTTAACAATCTTCAATTCCTTCTCCAAAGCACCCGTGCATCTCCAAATTTTTACCAAGTCATCTCTACCAACCGTCGCAAATGAAAACTCCGTCTTTGGATTCCACGATATCCTCTCAACTGCTTTAAGATGAGGGTGTTCTATTATTATTGGGTCAATAAGTCTTTCTGGTGTGCATTTCCATATCCTTATCGATCTATCTGTCCTCGAGTTAACTAATCTAGTACCTGTTAAATTTATGGAAATCAGTATAATCTCTGAACCAGACCCTCCTGCAATTGGTGAATCCTTTATGAGAACAGGAACGAAATTCTTGAAGAATGTTCTATTATTTGATAAACTCATCGGTATTCGTTGAATTTTTATTCGTAAAGTGTTTCTGATTCAGATTTCAAATGTCGCTCGAATAAATTTTCAGCGGCCACGTAGATTTAATCGCTTAGATTTCAGTTCTTTCAACAATAATATCACCAATTCAAGATGTCTTCTAGACCAAAGTTGATATCAATAGATGTGTTTGCAAAGACTGTGGAAGATGCAAAAATCAAAACAGCTTCCGGGGGAATTATTACTTTGGTGTGTATTTTCATTGTCATGTTTTTAATTCGTAATGAATACAAAGATTATACTCTGATTATTACAAGACCAGAATTGGTAGTTGACCGTGATATCAACACAAAATTAGATATTAATCTAGACATTTCATTCCCTAATATGCCTTGTGATGTATTAACTTTAGATATTCTCGACATCAGTGGAGATCTTCAGTTAGACATTTTGAAATCTGGATTTCAAAAGTACAGAATTCTCAAAGATTCAAACCATGAAATTCTTGACGAAGCGCCAGTATTGAGTAATGATTTGTCATTAGATGAAATGGCCAAAGGCGTGGGAGCTGATGGGAAATGTGGTCCATGTTATGGTGCTTTACCCCAGGATAATAATGAATATTGTTGTAATAGCTGTCAAACTGTGAAATTGGCTTACGCTGAGAAAATGTGGGCATTTTACGATGGTAAAGATATTGAACAATGTGAAAATGAAGGTTATGTTTCCAGATTAACTGAAAGAATCAGCAACAATGAAGGTTGTAGAGTTAAAGGTACGGCACAAATCAACAGAATATCTGGTAATTTACACTTTGCTCCAGGATCTTCATCTACTGCTCCAGGAAGACATATTCATGACTTATCTTTATTCGAAAAATATGAAGATAAATTTAATTTTGACCACGTTATAAATCATTTTTCTTTCGGTTCTGATCCTCACAATAACAACTTGCAACAAAGCACACATCCATTAGATAACCACCAGTTAGCATTTAATGAGAAATATCATGTGGCATCATATTATTTAAAGGTTGTTGCTACAAGATTCGAATTCATAGATATGTCTTCTCCTTTAGATACCAATCAATTCTCTGTGATTTCCCACCATAGACCTTTGAGAGGTGGTAAGGACGAAGACCACCAACACACATTACATGCAAGAGGTGGATTACCTGGTGTATTTTTCCATTTCGAAATTTCTCCTTTGAAAATCATCAACAAAGAACAATATGCCAAGACATGGTCTGGGTTTGTCTTGGGTGTAATCAGTTCAGTTGCCGGAGTTTTGATGGTCGGTACCGTATTAGATAGATCAGTCTGGGCTGCTGAAAAGGCAATAAAAGGCAAAAAAGACATGTAAGCAATTCTACATATATAAAAGTAAAGTGTATCTTAATACAGTTATTAATGTATATAAACTATTTCTATGTACATGTATGACTTTAGTTAAATATTAGACATCATTCAATAAATGTTTAATATCCTTATAGTAATCTTTATTTAAATACGAGCCTAACTCACCTTTTGTTAACCACATGTATTTCAATGATGGCTCTTGTGGTTCGAACTTACCCGATAAGATGTGAGACTTAATGAAGTATTCTTTTCCGTTATTGTTGTTATATAAATGGCATGGTTTATTAGATACATTGAAGTAATTGATTTTCTCTCCCCCGATCTTGTATAACCCTTCTTCGGCCATCGTATGTAAAGGTGTCAACTTTTCAGATGCTCCTTCGCTAAAATTTGGTAATATCCACTTGTCTTCCTTATTGATGACTAAATACAATGTACGGCTCAACTTTCTCTCTAAACTGGTTAAATCACCGTTTTTGTCGGCATCAGTGATTCTTGGATTAGGAACAATCTTACGCGATAAGTCATCGCCAGGTGTCACTTCAAAATCGTCCTCTTCGCCTTCTTTTGCTTCCTTATACGTTTTAGGTAATTCAATTTCCTGTTTGAATCTTCTGTCTCTTTGATGTCTGATTTCTGGTCTACCTCTTGGAAATTCGATATTTGGGTTGTTAAATATTGGGTTTTTGTTTAATTCTCGGTAATTCTGTTCGGACAACGTTCCTTCCCTATAGTAGAACCACTTTGGAAATGTCCACATTAATCTCTTCCATAATTCATTCTGGTATTTGTGGTACTGATTCTCAAACTCTGGTAAATCAGCAGTTATAACTGGTTGTCTCGATAAAAGTAGCGTGGACGAAATTAGGGGTGAGCTAGCTTGTGTGGAGTATGCTCTGATAATTGACCTGCTAAGCATCTGGAAACGTAATGACTCTATGAATATAGCTACCGTAGTATATCTGGGACGTATATATGGTCTTTATTCTATGAGGTTAGAATTTTTCACTTCCGCGTATATCCAAGTACAGCACAGAATTTATAATACTGTCACAAAGCCGTTGAGAACTCCGGGTAACAGGGTATTTGTACTGCCAGCGTCAAGACTATAAAAGGAGTCCATCTTGCACTTTCGCCCTCATAACATTATTAATCTATTATTCCTAAGTCATAACAACCAAATACATTATTAGGAAATACGAGTAATAAAACTCGTCGTGAAAAATACTTATTAAAAGATAGTAAAAAGATTAGTAAATCTGTATTTTAAACAGCTTTCTTTTCAAATTTTTAGTTAGTGTCACCCAAGAATTTTTATTGTAATACTAAATTGTGTTGATTGGATTGATTACTCTAGCGTAAGAAACCAAGAAATTAAATTAATTAATAATAGTTACTCCTACTCGTAAAAGTATACCCGGGATCCTAAAAACCGTATCTTTGGAAAAATAGAATTAGTGCTTAGTCGATAGTATCGTAAAGAAAAATAGTAATATGTCAGCAGTGGAACAATTTGAAACTATATTGAAGGAGTTGCCAACGTTGAAGGCCCCTGGAGTGTCAGGGTCGCGTATAAAGAAGTTGACGGATCTTGCAGTGAAGAATGTATCGGAAGAGTCGAAGTTCATAACTATTTTGTACTCTAACTGTAAAGCGGCCCCTTCGTCGCACAAATTAGGTACATTATACGTGGTTGATTCGATCGTAAGAATCTTTATTGAGGAAGCGAAGAAACAAAACCAAGAAATTACCTCGCTGGCCCCAGAAGGAACTTATGCTTCTGCTGTTTACAAAATCAGCGAGCTAGTCGAACTGCTTATTGACGATGCGATGGAATTACTGGTAAGTAAGTCCCAGACAATTAAAATTGGTAAATTAGTAGACATTTGGGAAAGAGCTGAAACGTTCAAGCCAGAAATTATCAATAAGATCAGGTCCAAACATTTCAGTTCCACCACTCCTCCTGGCTCTCCACCTGGTAAAACTAATGAACCAATAAAGCAACAACCTGAGAATAATTCAAACGACTCGGGTAGTATTTTGCTGGCTTTGGCATCTTTGGCTAAGAAGTCTAATTCCAATAGCTCTACACCTACTACCGCCTCTGCTGTTCCTGTTCAACAACCTCCACAGCCACAGCAGGCATCTGGAAATAATGCTAACGACATTTTATCTCAACTTTCAGCTATGGCAGGTAATAATGGTGCTGCTCCTCAACAGAATAATGCACCTCAACCGGGGCAATCTGCACCAAATGAACAATATATTTTCAATATGTTGCAGCAAATGCAAAACGGTAGTGCATCTCTTCCTCCAATCCCTCAGCAACAATCTAGACAAACTGGACAGCCAGACTATGGAACTGGTAGACGTGGTCGCGATGATAATGGTGTTACAAGTTATTCCAGAAGAAACAGATCAAGATCACCAAACCGCTTCGGACAAAACAACAGAAGAGATAGATCTCCTCCAAGACAACAATTTCAACAACAATTTCAACAACAGATTCCACAACAATTTTTACCTCAACAGTCACCTATGCCAACTCAAATTCCTGGTGGACCACCAAACTTTAATGTTCCTAATGAAATGAACGGTGAAATGAATTTACCAGGTACTCCGCATTACCGTCCTCGTAATGTTGGATTTGATCAATCATTACCACAAGGATCTTTTAAAGTGTTGTCAAGAACTTTATTTATTGGTGGTGTCCCAAGAAATATGGATGAAAAGGAATTAGCATCAGTTTTAAGACCATACGCTGAAGTTCAATCTGTTATTTTGAACAGTGAAAGAAAGCACGCTTTTGTTAAGGTTTACTCAAGAAGAGAAGCTGAACAAGTCATTACCTCTTTTAACAAAGACAATGCATTACCCTTAAGAACTCGTTGGGGTGTTGGATTCGGTCCAAGAGACTGTTGTAATTATCAGCATGGTATCTCAATCATTCCAATCCAAAGATTGACCGATGCCGATAGGGCTTGGGTTGTCCAGGCCCAATGGGGTGGTACAGGTGGTCAGCCATTACTGAGTGGTATGGTCATCGACGAGCCAGATATTGAGATTGGTACTGGTATATCTTCAAAGGCTATGTCTAAAAAGATGCCTACTAACTCCGCCAGAAATGGTCCAAAGTCTAATAAGCCAGGTGAACCAGATGAAGATTATGTTAAGACTACATTAATTCCTCAGCAAAACGCATCTATGTCTCATGGTGCGCAACCAGATTTCACAACTTTAACTCAATCATCAGTAAACCCACTTAGTGGTTTATTTGGAAACTCCAATAGCCCAAATCCAGGCTTTTCAATGCCTGCCCAGCCTGCTCAGCCTGCTCAAGGAAACTTTCCTCGAGCAAATGATTTTATGAACACCTTAAATCAAGGTGGTGGTAATCCAAATTTAAGTGCACAATTGGCAAACTTCTTTCAAAATGGAAGAATGAACCAGCCTCAATGAATTTTATCCACTGAATTTTAAATATTTCGTATGTAATATAAGTTTTCATTTTAATGTTTTACCGTAGTTTTTGTTTAGTTGAACAATACTAAGTTTTATTTATCGCGTATTGATGAATCAAAATTTAAATCTAGTCAAAAAGATTTTGAGACCACTATGAAAAGAAATAACTAATGGCAGCTTCAAAACGATATTTGAGTCTAGGCCATAGTAAGAGCAGGTCTCCAGAGTCTAAATCAATAACAGTCCCACAACTAAAAATGATGAATCTGTGATTCATCTACATGATCGATCAAATTTGTTCAGCAACTCACGTCGTACAGGACCCAGCACTGGAAGGAAAAGAAAACCACAACCTGTCATTGTAAATAATTTGGTAAAAAAGAAACCCAGGAAGCAAAGAAAATCACAAGTATCATTTAGCTCTAGTCCTATAAAAAGGCATCATGAACAAAATGATGATGATGATAAGAAAAAAATAGACTTCAACATTTTAGATGCATTTAATAAAAAGAGGTATCAATACGATCCAGACAATCCTTCTTCGGATGTCAGTGGTAATATGTTCGATTATAATAATTCTGACAGCGAAACAGAAATCCAATTAATTAATTTGAAGCAATTATCTAGCAGTCCAGCAAAGAGCCAAGAGCCTCATAATGAAAAAGAAGTTCAGGTATTAGATAAATTGATAGCAACAAGCTCTAACAAATACAAGGATTATATGGAAAATGTTCGACAAAATGATGGAGAGCTTGCTTCGAGCGACGATGGTTTTGCTGTTGAATTGATGAAAGGAAATATTTTATCAACTATGGAAAATCGCAAGCAGGCCAATATTGAAGCTATCCGTTTGAAATATAAGGATAAGGACTATCCAAATACAGTATCATCAAAGAAAGCATTATTAGAAAGAACGGAGGCCCATTTGTATATAGTACCTGAGATATTGAAAGGCAAACTTGAAACCTCTATTTTTTATGATATGGCAAAATCACTATCTGAATCATCTAACTATGAAACAATGACGCACAAGGAAAAATGGAGTGTTAACTGGCAAGAATTTTTTGGTGGTTACTACGGGTTTAAGAGACAGCTGTTCATTGGATCAATTATTATAAGTCGGCATAAGAACGATTTGCTGAATGCTGCAAATAAAAATAAAACTGTATCATACTGGACAATTAATGGTTTCTCTACTTTTGTATTGGCAAACGAAATTATAATACGATTTATTATGCAAGATTTCGATTGCACCATGTCTGAGGCCGAGAATATCATTAGAGAAAGTTCAGAATATGGAACTGTGATTTCGGATTCTACGGAATTAATTGACGATCTCAATATCGGTGAGCTTTTAAATGACGAATCTAAGGAATTCATGAAAGGTATAACACTAGATGATACAAATAACGAATATTTTGACGACAATAAAGAGATTGAAAAGAACCCCATACTGTGCGAGAAATCTAATACTGATGTAAAAGAATCAAAAATAGACATATTGGATCAATTCCTAGGTACAAGTAGTGACGATGATGACTAAATAATTAAAAATGTGTGACTTTTCAAATCAAATACTTTGAAACTATATAATATGTATATATATATATTAAATTAATAACCTTGATAAGATTAAGCCGACTCCTCAGTCCGACTTCAAAAAAAAAAAAAAATTTGTCAGGTCCATAACATATTTAGTAAAACTAAATCAATTGCATACGGATATAAGCCGTACATATAGCTTGCGTTTTCATAATCATATTGCTTCAAATTAATAAATTAAAGTCGGTTATTTTTCCGGCAGCAAAACGTTCATTCAATACTTCAAGATATATGCTACAAGATACGGTTTTCATCAATAATTTGGCTTCTATAGCCATTACTGGTAAGGATGCTTGGAATAGACCAACGCCGCAACCAATTACCATATCTGTATCATTAAATACTGACTTTCACCAGGCTTCAGTAACTGATAACCTTAAGTACTCCTTAAATTATGCAGTTATATCAAGAAATATTGCTGAGTATATGAAAGCAAATGAACATAAGAATTTCAAATCTTTAGGAAGCATTGCAGAGTCTGTTGGAGAAATTGTACTAGATGATAAAAAAGGAGGTGGTCATCAAGCTGTTGTTTCGATTAAGAGTAATAAGTCTGAGATTCGAGCTGATAGTATTGAATACAAGATGTGCAGATCAAGAACTGGAGACATTGAAATACCTGATGAAATCAATGTTTATGGATTAAAATTATTAACTGTAATTGGTGTATTTACATTTGAAAGGTTACAGAGACAGATTGTAGACATTGATATTTCCATAAAATTGAAAAAGAATGCTAACATATCAATTCATAAGATCATTGATGAATTAACCCTTTATGTTGAATCCTCTAATTTCAAGACAGTAGAGGCTTTGGTTATGAAAGTTGGTCAATTAATTATTCAAAATTATGGTGAGGGAATTCAAAATGTATCGGCCACAGTTACCAAGCCCAATGCTATTACTTTTACTGATGGAGTAGGTGTTTCTTCCAATATGTCCGAAACCTCATTTAAAGACGTTGATCCAATTACTGATATCGGGGCTATTGCTAAATCGACACCTAACTTTAATTTGCCAACTTCTCTTGAGGACTCTAAATTCAATAAGTATGACGAGCACATTGCTTATATTGCAATCGGGTCGAATCAAGAAAACCAACTTTCAAACATAAATGATGCATTGCAATTGTTGTCTTCGTATGATATTAAGTTATTAGCGACATCATCATTGTATATTTCAAAGCCAATGTATTTTAAAGATCAACCAGATTTTTACAATGCTGCAATTAAAATTTCATTCAAGAATAAGACACCACACGATTTACTAAAGGTGTTAAAAGAGATTGAATATGATCATGTGAAACGAGTCAAAGAGTTTGATAATGGCCCAAGAACTATAGATCTTGACATTCTATTAATTGACGACATCATTTTAAACACTGACGATTTAGTAGTCCCTCATAAATCTATGTTAGAAAGAACATTTGTTTTGCAACCATTATGCGAATTGCTCGGTCCAGATGTATTACATCCAGTTAGTGCTGAACCACTCCACAACCACTCACGTCAATTATTCACTAGCGAGACAAACGAACTGATTCAAGAATCTTCTAATTTGCTACAAATTGTGCCAATCCCGAGATTAGAAGATACAAAGAATCCATTAAAATTCGACCATGTTGAAAACAAACACAAAACATTGATTATGGGCATTCTCAATATAACTCCTGATTCATTTAGTGATGGAGGAAAGAATTACCATAAATCCATAGACGAAATTCTTGAAAACGCGAGCCAATTAATAGAACAGGGTGCTGATATCTTAGATATTGGTGGTGTTTCCACTAGACCAGGCAGTGTAGAGCCTTCGGTTCAAGAAGAGCTTGAAAGATTATTGCCTGTTGTCAAGGCGATCAGGGAGTCCTCTAATAATGCATTATCTCAATGTGTGATATCAATTGACACCTATAGAGCCAAAATCGCGGAAGAGTGCTTGTTGGCCGGTGCTGACATCATTAACGATATTTCTATGGGCCTTTACGATGATGATATGTTCGATGTGGTTGCAAAATATGGCTGTCCATATATTATGAATCATACGAGAGGAACCCCACAAACCATGTCAAAGCTAGCAAACTACGAATCAAATACAAATGAAGATATAATCGAATACTTGGATGATCCTGTAACTGGTCATCACATTTCACTTCCAAAGCCTGATGTGGATAATTTAATCAAGGGTGTTTCTAGAGAGCTTGGTTTACAAATCCTCAAATCATTCAATAAAGGTGTTAAGAAATGGCAAGTGATTTTGGATCCTGGTATTGGATTCGCTAAAAACCTTCCCCAAAATATTAATGTCATCAAGTATGCCTCTGCATTTAAAAATTATTCCATGTTAGTAAATCAAAGAGATGATAATGATCATATCAATCATTCCTACATCAGTTTCAGTGGTTTATGTACTCTTTTAGGTCCGTCTAGAAAGAAATTTTTAGGTACTATATGTAACGAACCAGTTGCATCTGAAAGAGTCATAAGTACTGCAGCATCTGTCATGGCCTGTATCCAACAAAAGACTGACATTATTAGAGTCCACGACGTTTCTGATATGAAGAAGACATGCTTGACTGGTGATGCAATCTATAAAGGTATATATTAAGTTGCGGGTAACGTTGAATTTTTTCGAACAAAAAATTTTCGGTTGAGTGACACAAATCGGTTAATTATATCGATTAATTAAGTAGTTAATAAACTAGATAATAATCTAAAAAATAGATACGTAGGAAGAAAGATGGCTGCTGTTTTCCCAAGAAGTTGTTACAAGTGTGGTGAAGTTGGACATTTAGCTGATAATTGTCAACAAGAACAAAGATTATGTTATAACTGTCGTCAACCAGGACATGAATCTAACGACTGCCCAGCTCCAAAACAAGCTACCCAAAAGCAATGTTACTCATGTGGTGATTTAGGACACGTCCAAAGTGACTGTCCAACCCAATCACAAGGTGCTAAATGTTACAACTGTGGACAATTTGGACACATTTCTAAGAACTGTACCGAGGCGGGCAATGAATCGGCTAAGAAGCCTGCAACTAGCAAATTCCAAAAACCAGCCACTACTTGTTACAAGTGTGGTGGACCAAACCATTATGCCAGAGACTGTCAAGCTGGTGTTGTTAAGTGTTATGCATGTGGTAAGACCGGTCACATTTCCAAAGACTGTAACTCCGCATCGGGAGGTGAATTCACCTCTAAGACTTGTTACAACTGTGGTAAGTCGGGTCACATTTCCAAGGAATGTGATGAACAAAGAGATTAAGTCTAAGTTTTAGTGAGAAGAGGGATGAAGATGAATTTGTTGGTTAGTTGGAGCAACTTTGACACAATTTTTAATGATCAATTTCATGATTTATTTCTTCTTTAAATATGTTATCTTCGGATATTCACTTATTTTTATGGTTAGTATTTAGGATTTATAAAAGAATCATTATTATTAGTATATTATATTATCTCTGTAGTTTCATATTCTTCACCGATTGCGAAAAATCTATTACCACATTTCTGCCATCAATAATGCAACCATCTTTCAATTTGCTATAGGCCCGATCAGCTTGCTGCTTGTCTTCAAATTCGACGAATCCATAACATAAACTTTTGTTGGTTTTGCGATCTTCAACCACATTGCAATTAATTACATTGCCAAACCTGCTGAATATAATACTTAACGATTCCGATGTAGTTATAGGATTTAATTTTGCAATAAATAGAGTCCTTGGCGAAGGTTTAATTTGATAGTGAGGCAAATCGTTCATTAATTCCAATGCTAGAGCCAGGTATGTTGAGCTATCTTCTAGTTTGGCTTCAGAAACCAATTCAGGAATCCGCATATTGGCAATCTGTGTATCTGAAGGCAATTCGGTCGACTTTTTCTTATCCATGAAGCTAGGATCCACATACGGGTCATAAATATTGTGCGTATGGGTGATCCGTATATCTTTCAACAATCTTCTCGTTTCCATATTTTCAACCACCGATAAATTAATTTTTTCCAATACTTGAAATCCTTCCACCACTTTGCCAAAATATACTTGGTTAAAGGACTTTAGATTAGCAACATCTGCTGTAAGACTGATTGTAAACTGCGAACCGATCACCAACTTTTTTCCATCTATATCCTTTTTGGTGACGAACGATACTAGACCTATTCCATTATCGCCATATTCGTGTTGAGTATTGGGGATGGGAAGATACTTATTCTGCTTTATTGATACTTCATTGATACTGACATCTCCAAAATTGTTAATTGCATTTCCATCTGTACTTTCTGGATAATCTGGGTCTCCACTGGTCACAATTAAGTCCTTGTGCAAATCATAAAAAGGTGTAAAGAAATAATAATTCAACTTGCATAGTTTAAGGAAATTATAGCATGCTAGCGGTTGTTCGTCGACAAACAAGTCAATGACTAAATTACCTTCAGTAGTTTCTAAAAGAACACTCATTAACAAAAAAATTAGCAAATTATTCTATTTTTCAGTTATAATGGTTACGGTAATAGATACCATAACCACTATAATTCAAATAATGGACAAAG